TTCTTTCATGTTCACTTTTAATCAGTAAATAATTTACTTACCCATATTTTCTAATTACTTCAAAATAATTTTCATGATTTGAAATTTATTAAAATAAACAAGAAAGTAAATTAACATAAAAAATACATTCTATGTAACAATGAAACTTTATGAATGGTTCTAAAAAGTGCTATCAGTTGAGAGTTAATGCATGAATTCATTATGCAATCACATATTAAAAGCACACTCTAAAATATTTTTCTGAGATCATAAAGTAAATTTTAAATAGAACAGATTACTAATAAGGTATAATAGTATGTAACTGTTTAATACTTTAGTGATAACCTGAATTCACAGTTTAAGCTACATTAAAAAGAAACAAAATAAAAGTTAAGAAACTAATAATAATACAGAATTTTAATAGAATATTATATTATCAAAACCGCATTTGTTTTTAACTGCACAGAATCAGCATCTAAAAACAAAAGAGTAGCTTTGATACATCACATCTTTCTCCTTGGTGGTACTGTGATATCTTTTATCATGGAAGTAAAAATATATATTAGTTTTAAAATAATGAAACATTTTGTGATTCAAATTATAAAAAATAAATATTTTCTCAACCAAACATCACCATATTAATCTAAACAAATAACATATTTTACATATTTAATATTTTAAAATTATTTTTATTTAAATAAACATGCAGTATATGTGCAATGCTAAATTAAAAGCACACCTGAAATTTAGAAGTAAACTTAAAGAAATTTTGGTACTTTTCCATTTTGCCGGTGCAGCGTAAAGTCGCCAAAATGGTACAACTGATGCCAAACGGAATCCTCGCGGTAACATTTTACCCTCATTTTCAAAACAAGTCGCAGCCATTTCTTTCAATTGATTGTTTCTTTCAATACTGGCATACAATTACATAGAATTTTTACCAGATAGTTCAATTTTATGCCCTTAGACCATTCGCGGTAATTAAGTTAATTAGGATGCAATTGCACCGCTCACCTGAAGCCGAATATATAGAAAAGGCAAAGTCAAAGGTTCAATTCTAATGAAAATGCACTAGCGAAGTAAAGCACTGTGGTTTTACATAATTTCTGAGTAAGCTATTCTTGCGAATTGAAATAATTCTTGCATTTAAACTTGTATCCTACATTAAGATTTAACATGAAATTAATATAGATAATTACTGAGAGAATCAGATTTCTGTAGCGTAGTTTACGTGAAAGCATATTAAATTCTTAAATTAATGTGTTTTAACAAATTTATTGTCTTTATTTACAGTATTTTCACAAAATTTTAAACAATGCCTTTAAAATAAAAAAATCTTAGTTCATTTGTTAAAATTTTTTATGTGTATACTGTGTGTTGACGCCAATAAAGTCTGCTTGGCGAGATTTGTGCTGGCGAAATGGAAAAGTACCAAAATTTCATTATTTATGAGATACTCTATGTTTGAGTTATTAATGATACATTTTCCATTTTCAAATCTATTTTAATGAACTAACATAAAAAATATTATAAAAAAGTGCTGAGATATTCATAGCAAAATGTTACATATATATATATATACACATATATATTAAAGTCAAAGATAATTAAAATAATCAAATCAATAAAAGTGGCAAGCTTACTAATGGGGGAGGGGAATTTGATACAAATCAAGACAGAAACAAAAAAACAAACATAACATAATAAAATAATTAATAGATGAAGATTCTTTGCTCTTTTTCAACAAGCAGGCAAAGTTTTTCGACAGAGTTATATTTCTTGATTATATCTGAAGCTGATTATTATATTATGAATCATATCTGGATATTTCTAAATTATATCTAACTGTACCAGCTGCTCCTTGAAAAAAACCAAAGCATTTTCAATTATTTATAATTTTATTATGTAATTTTGGTTTTGTTTCAATCTTGATTTATATCAATTTTTCCCTATTAGTAAATTTACCATTTTTATTGATTTCATTATTTTAATTATCTCTAGATTTTTAATTAATGTTGCAGTATAATGAGCGACTTAATTAATAATCTTATTTTTTCAATTTCCAAGCTCTAGATTATATGCATATTGCATAATTAACAAGAGCAATAATTAGATATATTATACTGAGGCAAAAAATTAAAATACTGGTTTTTCAAACAATTGTAGTTATCAGACCTATTACTAACACTTTCATTCATGAAATTAAGAATACAGTAAAGCAAAGAGATTTTGAATAGAATAAAAATACATCTTCTAAAAATGATTATCATTAATATTTTCCCCCCAGATGCATTCAAAAAATGCATCTTACACTAAGTAGAATAAGTGTCCACTTCCAATAGCTATATGCTCTCAAATTCGTATTCACTAATGCATATTCACTCAGAAATTCACTAGTGTAATTTTGACAGGATAAACAAACAAGAGATCTTTGGCTAAATATACTGTAAGGCTTATAGAATAAAACTAATGACTTCCTGTATATTCCAGACAGAATATGATATATTGCATTTAAATAAGTAGGAAATAAAATATATAAAAATCATAAAATAACTTCTTTGAAATGTAGCATGTTCAAACAAAACTTATATAAGCAACAATTTTTTAGACAAGTTAAAATGATAACTGCTTTAACAACAAACATAAAATTAGTATAAGATATCACTATATAAGACATAATTCTATAATTCTTAAAATAATTTATAATGACAGGACTGCCACAACACAATGAATTTACTCACATACATGTAAAATACTATTATTGCACAACACATATTATCTAAATTGATTAAAATGGCAGCCCAAGGCTTCAAATATTTAAAATTGCTCTACACATTTAAAAAAAATTTAAATAAGTATTATATAAACATTCTAAAATCACAAATTCTTCACTAAGTAAATAAAAGTTTAGCAGAGTATAAATTTCTCATAAAAACACTTAATGAGGATTGAAAGGATCCTTAACATAATATGAAATGTAAACCATATATATATAAAAAACAATTTCATTTTTAAAACTTTTAAATATTATTTTTCATCCCCTAATATATCACACTACTCATGAAACAAAGAAATATCAAGTATGAGTCTCAGTTTCATAAATTCATGAAATTCTCTATTCATATTTTGTTTGCTGCAAAATATTTTAATTAAAGTTTACAAAAGTAAAAAACATGCTATTAAATTCATTATAATAACTTAAAAAGTCTCAAAAACACGATATTTACATTTTGATGGCGAATAGAATTTATAATTTATAAAAAGATTTCATAGAAATAATCTATAACGTTATCTATTCCAAAACATAAGTATAATAGAAAGTGAATTAATTAAGTTACAAACAATCAGTGTGCTTCAGATAAATTTCTTAACATATATAACAAGTGATAATCCAAATTTTAAACATTACAATAATCTTAAATGAGATTTAGAACAAAAATGCAAAGTACACTACAATTTTAAAAGATTTAAGATATTTACAATTATAACCCTGAGGAAAAAAGGCATATAAACCTATGTCAGCAAATGGCAATAAACAAGGCTGGTTTCAATATTAAAATTCTTCAATGACGCTAAAATTTTCTTAATCATATAAATTTAACAGAAATATTACTTTGCGATTTCAGTATGCTACTAACAAGTTACACCATCATACTGGAAATATCATAAGTATAAATAAGTTGTTTCCAATCTAAGTTCTGAACAGACTAGTTATATTCATATGTAATAGCAGATTTCATTCTACTGATATTAATTTAGCAAACTCATGAAGATACATTAAGTCTAGATTGCTATTTGCAATTATTTACTTTTAAGTAAGTTATATTTACTTCAATATTAATTTCAAGAAAATCTTTAGTTTGAAAATAACAAATTTTCATTTGACACTTAATTTCCAATATAATTAATAGGTACACATTTTACCAGGTAAGAAATATAAATAATAAAACATTTGCTAAATATAACACATAAAAATTGACAAAAGTATCTACAAATCAAATCATACAAATGCAGCTACTCCCTCAATAATAACAATGTATGCAGTTTAAGTATTATAGTCAAAATTTATTTAATTATAAATAAGTCATTTGAAAATTATATTTGTTAAAAAATGATTGAAATGTCAAAAATTCAATCTGCTATTAGGTTTATTTTTAAAGCAAAAAAAGATACAAAGTAATAAAAGCTAATTATAATGAGCAAAAGTAAAATGATTTAAAGTTTTTGGCCCCATCAAAAAATACAAGTTTACATTATTAGAGAATACTTAAAAAAATTAGCTAATTTTGCTACTAAATGCCAAGTTATATAAATAAAAGTTTAATGAGCTTAAAATGAGACTTAAAAACATACAATTAAAAATTTTTATCATTACCTACACAGTTTTACTTGAATGTATTTCTGTGGCTGGTATAAAACAAATTAATGACTTGCTACAATAATGTTAGAAATTTATTCTGTTATAAATATATGATATGTGTTTGGATTGTCTTTGCATCATAATAAATTTAAACTATTATTAAAAGACACTGTAGTACACATGCATTCAATATAATCATAAAATAAAACATTTGTAACAATTTTACTTAAATAAGAAACCAGCCTTGTTAAATATAAAATAAATTGGCAAACAAAAATATATTTCACAAACAATATTAAAAAAGATAGGCAGTTTGCATATTTGTTCTCATTAAGTTTTCTGTACTATATACAAGCCACATATATTGCATCAAATAATCTATAACTACAGCATTTGGATAGAATTACAATATTTTGTACCACATTCTTTGTAGTGTACCATAGTATCACCAGAAATGAATTATAGCAATTGTTCACAGTTCTATGTTTTCAAATCTACTGAAATATTGGTATGAAAAAGATGACATGGGAAAAAATCACAGAAATGCAATCTCTTAGCCCAAACAAAATTCTCCTGCACAACTTTTGTACTTTTTGTCGCATGTCTGTTAACTTGTATATTTCCACTTTCACAGAATTAACAAAATAATGACTTTCACAAATTGAGAAATAATAAAGATTCAAGATATTAAATTTCTAGCAAAAATTCCTACTTGAACATCCTTCAAAGTTTGTTGAAATGACTTTGATGAAATATTTTGGCTCTTTCTCTACAATGTTTGCAGTAGTAAGTTGAATTTCTCATATAAAAAGCTGTTTTTTAAGTTGTTTCAAATGTTGAGCCAGTTATACTGGATTTACAGCTTGTGGCATGCAGAAGGCATCCTGTTATTGAGTCTATTAATAAAAGTGCATTTATAATTAACAAAATTTTACATTCATTTAAAGTAAAGTGATACAGCAATCTATTTAATAAAAATCTAATATCTCTTTATTATAAATAATTAATACATAAGGATAAGGCAAACACTAGTGTATAAAATAAAATTTCTTTAAAAGCAGACAATTACAACTACTCCCGTTTTCAACTCTCATAAAAATGCACTATTTTTTAAATTAAACACAATTATTATGCATCTGTGTATATATCGTCATTATATAACACATATGTACAAAACAATAAATGAACAGCTAGACAATAATTGGGAAACTAATATTGCTTAAAGCTGGTGAGTTCAAGGTTCGATTTAGTGAAGTTAACTGAGTACCTGGCATTCTTCCTAGTTTTCTCATTCATATATATATTTTTTTAAGTTCCTTAAAAAGTCTTCCATAAAAGGAAACTTTATACCATAATATATAGCCATTCAGGTATGAAAAAATATTTTTTAAAGCAAACTATATTCTCAAATGCAAAATAAGGTACTGTTACAAAACTATACAAAAAAAAAAAAAAAAAAAAATCCTGGAACATTTCAGTATCTTACTGCATATAATGATTTGAGAAAATTAATAAATGCTTTACTACTACTAAAATATCCTTCCTCACATTCCTCAAATATTTGTTTCACATATATACATATTAGCAGGAATAAAATTATTCAATCTCTCTTAATATTTTTATTTCTATGAATAAAAAATTTTAAGTTACCATAGATATGTAAAATTTTTATATTTTTATATTTTCTCAAATATATAAAAAATAAAAATTGTTTTTCAATATAGTTAAGAAAAATTCAAGAAATAGCAGTTTATACAGATGTTTTAGGATTTCCTTATATCAAAGCATAAATATTAATATTCAAATAGTGAAAGAAGTATCAGCATTACTTTTTGTATCTTTGAACACTAACAAATGAGTCAGAAAACTTAAAATGGAAAACTTCGTATGGATTTAAATAAATTATAACAGAAATTTACACAGAAAATTAAACCTGCTACACATTCAAGAAATTTAAAACATTTTATTATCATTATGATAATATCAATGAAAATATTATAAGAGACTGTTAGAAAAGCATTATATTAAGCGTTAAACATTTTAAAATCATAAATGAGAAGCTAAAATTATGATTAAAATTTCTCGAATTTACTTCTTTATCAAATATCCCAAATCCATTTTTCTGTTATGAAAACAAGTTCCAGAATTTACTGCATAAAATAAATTGCTTTGAAAGAATTTCCAAATATAAAAGATATACAAGCGAGAATGCGGCAACACATAGCATAGAAAGCAAGAAATGACAGTAATTTAAGAAAGTGATTATTAAAATACAATAAATAAGTAAAAATTTTCGTTAAAGTAGACTGAACGGTGCCCCTGGTATTATCGTGAAATTGTTGTTTCATTTATGGTAACCTGAGTAGTTGAATGTTATGGAAATCTTATTATTACATAATCGGTTGCGGTAAATTTTGAATGTTGGGAAAAGATTTGTAAGGCCTTGTGGTATGTGTTGGTTAGGAAGTACATTGCTTCTTTTGCAGTTTAGACGGTAGAATGGCTGAATGTGGTAAGATTAATTTGAAGTTTTTGACGATTTGGAATGAAAGGGAAAAAGACATTAATTGACTGGTATTGTAAATGAAGGTTTACTTAGCTTGCCACTATAAGTGTCCTGTTTGTAGGAAGGAAATGTCCTGTTTGTAAGAAGGAAGCTATAAGTGTCCTGTTTGTAGGAAGGAGGTTGAACGTCAAAGGATACCGGCACTACGGAGGGTATATTTTACTCTTATTTTTGTGAATTTATGTGACGACACCAATATACAGATTCTAGGTCAGATAATTTTAGGAAGATTTTGGATGCTGTTAAGGAATTTTATGTGCCACAGACTGAAGATGCAGAAATTTTTAAACAAGGTAAGTAGATATTTGCTTTGTGTACTGCTTAGATGCATAAGATGAATTTCCTTTTTTATGTTATTTTATTGTTTGATTTAAAATGTATTTTATTGAGATTATGTATCTTTTGTTTGGTTCTACTGTAGAATTGGGTGCTCCTTTGACTTTTAAGTGAAAATAGATCGATGTGTGATTGGACAAAGTCAAGGAAGTGTGTAATGCCAAGGGAGTGCGGAATGAGCAATGCCAATTTTTGCTTAACATTTTCAACGTTTGTGCAATTCTCTGATTTTTTTTAAGTGAAAAAAGGTCTATGTGTACATGGATACCAAGTTTGTGCAATTCTTTGACTTATCATTTTGCTTTTGTGTAGTGGTGATTTATGGCACAAAAATCGCTGCTACAGAAAGCCAAAATAACAAGTCAAAGAATTGCACAAACACCATATCCCCGTACCACCAAAAATCGCCATGGGCACTCGTAATTATATTTTTACCAACAATTTTAAGGGCTTTAAGGATAACATATTTTTAAACATCGTGAAAATACAAATAAAAAGTTAAAAAATCACCTTGGCTGCTGACAGAAGGAGAGGAATGTGATCCACTCTTTCCATTGGGTTGTCCAAGGTATGAAGCTGGAACCCATCCTTTCTTAGGTGTATCTAAAACACGAACATACCACCAACCAGCACAGCCTACTTTTTCCACTTCCACAGTTTCTCCTTCCTTTAGTGAAGCTTCCCCAACATCGACAGCTTCATAGTCACCCAGAGCCACATAACGACCACCAACCTAATAAAATACATTAATATACACCATAGATTGCAAGGAAAGCAAAGATATCCGATTCATCTGATTACTTTTACAGAAAATATATAATCAGAACTGTCAAAAAATATATAAATAATATAGAAAAATACATATCTAAGATTTATTTTAACAAAAAGATAATATATGTTAATACATATATTACCTTTCTGTCCACTGTGTCCACACAATTCCTAACCGAGCTTTTATTTCCTCTGGCCCAATTTTTGTTAAAACTTTTAAAACTTTTTGCTTAGCGTTTTCAACATATAACAAGTTAAGCACACACTAATTTAAAAAAAAAAAAATTCTTCCAGAGATTTATTGAAATTTTAAGTCTTACTTTTCCAGTCAGTGAAAAGTTTGCTATTTGCCTATTTAGTCAATATGTCGCTTCACAATTATAAGCATGACCAATATTTCCTTCACGTTTTCTTCAGCTTACAGTTATCAATTCCGTTTCATTCAGAGATTGTTAATGTTCTGTAATGCTAGAAAGGATTTCATGAACTTTTTTCATAACTTTCAGAAGATGTACTTCTACCTCCAATCAGCTAACATTCCAGATAGAAGCCTCACTCATTTACAATCCTTTGAAGTCTACTGCAGAAGAAAAACTCTAAAACCAGTGTCTCACAGGTACAGGGACTGACGGATACGAAAATTTTGATCAAACCCATTTCATTGAATTACTACATCCACAACACGTTAAATGGATGAACAACGAAAAGTTCAGATATTTGCAAATAGGAATTCTGGCATTGAATAATTAATTCTTTTGCCAGTTTGAGTTTATAAGCTGCAGAGATGAATTTAATAACAGCAGATTTTCTATTGATTCTGTTTTTGTTTTGGTTCTTGGAAGTTTGAAAGTAATAAGTGTCTGAATTTATTAACCAGTGAGTTTAATAAGCAGCAGGCACTATATATGTCTATGATCAATGGTTGTGAAAACAAATTCAGCTGGTCAGGGTCAGGAAAGGCTGGGTCAAGAGTTTGGTAGACACTGCATATGTAACATGCTTCTATTAAAATTATGAGGAAGAGAAAATAAAACCTTTGTGCCAAATACAGATTTATAACTTGAATTCTGATTTTAAATCTAGCAAATATTTTAGCAGACAATTTTTGTTATGCTTCTTTGACTAGATTTAACTCGTTAAAATATCTACATTTCATAAATTTTTCTGGGTTAAAGATTTCTTCCATGAGATTTGTTCAGAGAAATGTTCCTCAAATAATAATTATTAAAGCACAAAACAGTACTAAAGATGAAAAATCTATAAAAAGAGATAGTTATGCATTTTCTAGAAAATTAGATTCTATTTCCATTCCATTTCTACAATACCTCAAAATTTTCAATATCTAAATAAGCAATTCTGAGCAATCAAAAAAGAAATCTATAATTTTATCTCTTTATATTAATTAACCTAGACTAATTACTTTATTTATCACTGTCACTTCATCAAGAATGTTTACTCAAAATAATCTATATTTTAAAATAGATTTTTAACAGATAACAAACTGTGAAAAGCACATCAATGGTTGAATGCCTAAATCTGCAGAAGATTGCTTTTTACAATCTGATTTCATTCTGCAAGTATAATAAACTGGTTAATCCTCGACAGACGCAAACATTCCGAAGCAGTTAGTTTTTAACAATTTTTGTATAATGGTACCTAGAGCCATCAAAATTTGACTAACGTAATCTTCCATAAAATATAGGCATGTGGAAGCCCTAATTTGAATTTGAAATTTGTTTTATTATTGATTTCGTATTTTGTAACACTTCAATGAATTTTTGATTACAAAACTAAACGATTTCAAAGCGAGCAATGGCAACGTTGTACAGGAAAAACATTTTTATTTCCAGTACACGAGACTGTGCATTGGAAATTATAAAGATATGATTAATTTAAAATTATTTTGCGATATTGCTCTTGAACTGAATTTTCAGTTTACATGATGTTTAATAAATAAAGGTAACACACAATTTTTTTTTTTTTTTTTTTTTTTGATCCTTTGGGCATAATTTAAAACCAAAAGTCTTTCAGATTTTCTTTTCTTTTATTCAATAAAAGAGTTATTCTAAGCAATTGGACCACTGTGTAAGTTTTATTTAAAGAGTCACAAGCCAAAAAAAAAAAAAACACTAGAAAGTTGTTCGCTGCTTTGCAAGAGAAATGGAGTAAGATTCCTGTCGAAACCTATCGCAAGTTGGTGGAAAGTCTTCCTCAAAGGGTTGCGAACATAACTGCAGCGAAAGGTGACCCCACATGATACTGATGGACTACTGAAACAGGATTAATGTACTAGTTAGGGGTGTCCGGTCATGAATGGCCATATATAGTCTATATGTATATATATCTCTCCTCTGTTATTTGGCTCAGTGAGCTCAGTTTCTTTATTCTTATACAGTTGTTTAAGAGTGGCTAAACCTAATTTGTTTACCATAGCAGGCATATTTGTTTACATTTGACACTTAGCAGAATACTGGATTTATTGCCAATCTATAGGAAGCAAGCTTCGCAACAACGATGTAATGCCTTCTTTTATTATTGTGAATTAAATTATGCTTAATCCATTATAGAATAATCATTTAAGTTATTAAATTAGCCCATATATTGACTCAGCAAAGCTTCCACAACAAATTCAATCAGTTTCTATATCTGCAGTGTCTTTTTGAAGAGTGAGACAAAATTAACTTCCAATTTCGTGAACCTAAAATTCTGTTATCTTGCCCGCTGGCCAAATTGCTTGTTTTTGCTAGGAAACTGTAATTTTAATTGTAATTTTTTTCCTGTATCTTTCAATTTTTAATGAAATTCAAGGAAATAAGTGTTTCATATTAGCAGAAAATACTGTCATCGGTCTGTTTTGGACAGAGAAGAACGTTTACGAGTAGCGCATGCACATTAGGTAAGCAGCGCTGAATCGTCTGTGAAAAACTGTTTATTTTTTATTTGTTTAATTTCTTTTATATATTGTTTTAGATTTATCGTAGTATTTGAATAGAACATGCGGCAACCATTAGATAATTCTTCAGATAATATAATTTTTGTGCATTCCGAGTTATAAAATGAATGAGAAGTAACACTGTTAAATGAACCTAGCACGAAAGTATAGTGAATTTTAAAAAGCACATTTATTCTATTGTAGTTTATGCACTATTGATGAAGTAGATTTAACTCAAATCAATAAGTTTAAATAAAATTCAGGAAAAAATGTGTATAATTTAATATTCCGTAAAAGATGTACACTGTGCAAAAAAAAAGGGGGGACAGTTCTATATCTCCCGTTCTACTGGGTGACTGACGAAATTCAACTTGGGTTTTTCATGTCTCGAAAGCTCGACTTAGGATATGTATTAAATTTATATATAGCATTGTTCTAATATAGGTATTTTGACACAAAAACGGACTTTTTCTCAAATAACATACCAATTTTTTTTCCATATTTCAATTCTACGACTCAAATTAACTACAAAACTACCAAATTTTGTAAAAATTGCATGAGTAGTTTTTAAAAAATTAGCTCCTCAGTGTTAATTGAGCTTGGTATATATTTATTAATCTCTCTTTTTTTTTTATTAAACTTATTTGATTTCTTCCTTTTACATTTCATTCCAAATTCAGTTTCATTCCAACTAAATTCCCAATTATTATTTATTTTTAAAATTTGTATTTTAAATAATTTTTATAAATTTTTCAAAAACATTTTGAATTATAATCTTTTTACAGCAATTACTCATAATAAGGACTTGAGAAATACGTCAGTTAATTTCAAGCTCTCAAAACAAAATAATTTAATACATTAAAAAAATCCTAGACTATATAAATGTGTCCAAGAAAAAATATTAATAAGCTTAACAGACATATTAGAATCCTTTTAAAGCAAAAAATATAAATATATAAATTCATTCATGCCATGGTATTTTAAATAATATAAGTAATAAAAATATTGAACTAAATAAAGATAAATACAACTGTTCTATTTCCTTTATAACTTACTAAAAGAAAATACTTAACAAATAAAATCATGGACCTACCCCCTTTAAAGATCAACAATTATATTGAGACTGTTAAAAAACTTAAATATTGCACTGATTGGTGCACTGATTTCAAGTTGCTATAACATTAAAATTGAAATTAAAAACAAAATATCTATAGCCAACAGATGCTTTTATAGACTTAGAAACTAACTTAAATACAAATTCATAAGCATAAAAACCAAAATAAGTTTATATGACTTTGGTAAGACTTGTGGCTCTGTATGGAAACAAATGCTGGACACTTAACAAGACAGATGAAAATCTGTTACTGAAAGAAAATTCTAAGGAAGATCTTTGTACCAGTGAGGCAAAATGAACTATGAAGATTACTATACAACTGTGAAATCTATATCAAATACAGTGAACATGATAGTGTCAAAATTGTGAAGGCATTTTGCATTAGATGACTAGGCCATATTTATAGATTTGATGATGCATTTCCTAACGTTCTCAAAAATATAGGTGAAGCAACTAAAAGAAAGACCACCCACTAGATGGCAGGATAGTGTAAAAAAGAATTTAAAACTGATAGGAATAAACCGATGGGAACCTGTGGCACCGGATAGGGTCAGATGGAGAAAACTTGAAGAGGCAGCACTGACCTATAGTAGGTTGTAAAGATCAAGAAGAAGAAAAGAAAATACAGATTTAATTTTTTTATAAAATATCTAAAATAACTAAAAAACTACTAAAAGGTTATTTATAAACTAAATGAATAATCAGAGTTAAAATACTTTATCAATTTAATATTTATATTAAAAAGAATTCATTATTTGTCACCTCGGTTGTTATAACAAAAACATCGCCTTCATCATCCTCATCTTCAGTTTGGGAGAAATCATCAGCAGACGACCATCCATCATCAGAGTATGAAGTTCTTTCCTCTCTGCGATATGGAAGTGAAGCAACAGTGGCACGGCGGCCTAATTCTCCTGGCTGTCTTGTAGTTATAGGACTACTGCGGTAAGAGGCCGGCCCATTGTGCCAACTAAAACTACTGCGATTACTTCTTGATCTAAAATAAATTATTTACAATATCAGTATATCACAAAATAAATGATGAATGATATTATTAATATACAGAAATACTCTCTATAAACATAAATACTGCACAGAAACACTATACATACCATACTTATATACTGAAAAATCAAACGTTCTAAAATATTGCTAATGTTTGTGAATAAATATAGAGCCTTAAATATAGAATGGAATTTCAAAAATTTCATATTATACAAAAAGACAGTTTACAAATAAATTATTATTACAATATACTATTAATTGTTTCATTGAACATGCACATAAAAAGAGAGTTTCTCAAATAAATTTTTGTCTCTGAATTCACTACAGAGATGACACTTTCAGACTTTCCGATGATAATAAAAATTTATCCCAAATTTCACCTCTTATATATTCAAATAATTTAGCCATCCATTTTTCCATCCATTTTTGATGGTAATAAGGAAGATTTATCCAGATTTTATTGGCTATCTATTTGAATGATCCAGTCATCCAATTCACTTTTGAAACTGAATTTGATAATACCTTTCCCTTCTTTGATATTCTTATAATTCAAAGGAACCAGTTTTCAGCACTAGTGTTTATCATAAACCCTTTTCTGTTTGTTTGCTTCCCAGTGCTAAATCATGTCACCCATCTAAGCAAAAAATGGCTTTTTTCTACTATTATGTATTTTGGGCTCTTAAAGTTTGTTCCTCAGAATATTTGCTTTCTAATGAACTCAATTATTTGAAATCAGTTGCCATTGATAGAGGATTTTCTCCCATGGTCATTGATAAAGGCCTTTGAAAAATCTTCATTTTGATATCAAAGAAGACATTCCACTGTTAGGGATAAAATTAACAATCTTGTCATTTTCCCATTTTATCCTTCTGCTAGTTACAAAATTGTATGTATTCTTTAATAGTTATGTTCTGAAGTCATTTTCTTGCCAATCAATAAAATCCATGGTTTATTTCTTAAAGATTTCATTTGTAACTTTAATTTTTGGTGTCAGTGTGGTTTGAGATATATCAGATAAACTAAAAGAAGTGTTAAAGTTTCACATTAAGGAACACAAATCTTATGTCAAAAAAGGAGAAATAAATTAATCTTTCATATCTAATCATAATTAGAAAATTAATAACAGTTTTGACTTTGCAAAAATTATTTAAAAAGCTTTTCCAGTTAATGAATTGGATTTTCTTGAAGCTTTTCACATTCATAAAGATTTATCTTGTTTAGATAGTGACTTTAATCTAGACTTTCCTAATGCTTTTAAAATTCTAATAACTTATTTTTTTTTTTTATTATTTCTGTGAACAAATGGCACTACCTTCTCATTCAGTGTACTCCTTTGCTTTTGGTGTAAATATGGCCGTGGCTTTTCCCTTCATCGCAGATTTCCTTATTTCTGATGAAGAAAGACCTATACCTGTTCACCCTTGAAATCAATAGAGTCTTATTTAAAAACTATGCCAAATACAAGGTTGTTGTTTTGCCTAACTTTATGTTTCATTTTGTAATGTTTCTCTTCTCTTTTTATTACTATTTACCTAAAAAGTAAATTTAAGGAAATTAAAATATGATGGTAAAATGGCCTTATTTGCAATAAAACTTTCTTTGATGTGGTTTATGATCTCCACTGACATAAATGCAAACCCCAAATCTTGATTTCATAGACTTTACCAAAATGCTGTTCAAGAATTGAACATGGTAGTATGTAATATAGCATTCACATGCTTTACTTTTGTCCCTGATAATGAATATTTATTGAAACTTTCCACCAAATTTACTTAAGATTTTCCCTACAGCTATACAGAAGGTAGTAGGCAATAAATGAATCTTCCAGACATATTACATTCTAAATTTTTACACACATTCAATATATCAAAGTTTACTGTATTATAATTTCCTAAAAAGGGGCTTGTAACATTTCAAAAATATATTAAGAAACACATCTTTTCTTCTTAGAAATTAGGAAATCAACATATGCCACATTAAGTTTGCCAATTTGAGACAAACATGTTAGATGATATAACAGTTATCAGACCAAGAAATTCTAGATTGTGATTCATGATGCATAAGTAAAGTCCTTAAGGGCTTCAAAGAATGGGCTAAGACATTCAAGGGGATTTATGAATATCTATGGCAAAATTATAGAAGCTAATTAAATGGAAAACCAGTGCCAATAACTCTATTTTTATTTTAATAACACAATAGAAATTCCTAATGCTTTATATATGATTCCAACATTTTATTAACTTCACATAGTAAATAATATGACTGAATTGCTGATTTTATAATTTATCTTTCTCTAACTTTACAAAACTTGAAGACTGATAACTGAAGGTCTTCATTACGAATGATATTTTCCCAGCACGTATAGAGATACAATTATATGAATATTTCATATGTATTAAGGTAAGTAAAACAACCTTTTTAACTATAGCTATTCTACTAGAGGTATGAAAGCCTAAAATGAATGAAGCTTATAAATATATAGTGATGTATAAATCAACCTAAGCCTACAAATAAGATAAAATCAATATTGTCATCAATATATAATTTCTAAACATATAAAAGTAATAAATTAATTAAAACAATATGTATGTAATTTATAAATGAAGCATTTTGCAACAGTTCTGATTTCAGGCTTGGATTTAGATTTACAAAATGCTTTAGAAGCTTACATGAGAATATTCTCTTACAAACACATAACACACAATATTAAGCTATACATTATGTTCAATGATTTAGATACTTTAGACAAATATTAAATTATGCAAAACCATAAAAAGATCAAGTCAGATATATACCTGTGACTAACTATGGGAGACTGGCAAACGCCATTGATGTAGCTCAGTTTTTGTATTTTATCAGAATGTTGCTTCAAATTTTCATCTAAAAACAATTATGAATTATTTCTAAGAAAATGGCAATATATAAAACAATTGACACTATCCATAATTTATTATGCTACTGAAATGCAAAAGCATATTTTATCAACAAATTATGTTAGGTAAAATGATTCTAACAATTTTTACAGTTAAACCTCACTTCTAAGATTTTAAGATCATGTTCTTTTCATAAAAACAGCTTAAAAATTGTAAAAATTTAACCCAATTAATGAAAATAAAGAAATATTTATATTTTAACTGAAATTAAATAAATTTTCAATAAATTTAGGTATAAATAAAATATTTTTCAGAATCGATAGATTAAGTAAAAAAAGCTGAAAAAAAAAAAAAGAAAAAAGAAAAAAAAAAAAAAGAAAATTAACGTTTTATTTTTAGATAAATGCAAACATACAACCTTATCTACTCAAAAGTCAATAATTTTGTATCGAATAAAATGTTTATCGGATATAGTTTTGGGCTCCAAAACTTGGAAATGGAAACACATGTTTAGTAACCCTCAAAATAAAACAGACACATTAAAAAATTATCATTAAAAAATTCTGAAATTGTTTTCTAACAAAATGTGTAATCTTCATGTGGAACATCATTAGTCACTTTCATAGTTTTAAATTTCTAGATTTAAAAGTTCTAGACTTCGATTTCAATACATATATTAAAATATCTAGATATTAGAAATATTTCAAAGATTTTTTAGCTTCAGAACCACCCTTTTATAAGTGTTAATTCTGATTGCTAATATATTATATTCGTATGTAGGAGGTACTAATCTTTATCAAAGAGTCAAATTCCTAGGTCTTGTGGATTTTTGTTTTCAAATAGAAATTAAAACAAATAATTTAATGCATGATTTATTACTAACTTTCTTACTATTATGTTAAAATTTCTCTTCATAATGGATCGTCTTTATGAAGAGTTTGAGAACAAATGTATAAAATTATCTAAACAAGGAGAAAAGATATAAAGGCAAATCTCCATGAAAGAAAATTTTTCTCTTGCAGAACTCTCTTGAACATGACATTTTTTATAAGCAGCATTTTTAAAAGTAGATATTTTAATATAGAATTTTATTTTTTAAAATTCAATTAATTTTGTTGAATATTATAAATATTGAAAACACTGAATCAAAACAAATATTGCAAGCCCCCTAATAATTATTTGAAGACTGAAATTTTGTCTAAGTCTTGGTTACACTATGAAAAGAATTAAAATTATTTTTAAAGTGGATTTATTCAAACATAAGGTTTTAAAAATTGACTTGGGAGCTAAGGAATCACAAATAAATAAATAAATGTTAATTAAAAAAAAAAGAAAGATAATTTTGAAAGAGATGATTAAAAAATTTTATGAAATCATGATTACAATTTTTTCATACATAAATATCACTATATAATTCTTTGAAACAGTTTTCTTTAAATCAAATCTCTGTTTATTCATTTATATCTTATTAATGAGACTAATTACAAAATTATATTGTATTTTTCCTCCAGAATTCTTTCCTAAAATACATTGAATTTTTCTTTTCTTTCAAAATTATGTAATTTCTCAAGAAATTTCTTGAAAAAGTATGTTGTACAAAATTCAAAAGTAAATTATATTTTGTTCTACAAATAAGAAAATATTACTGAAAATAAATTATCAAAATATGAGTCTGATTTTCAAACAGCAGAAATTAGAAATATCCAGGCAGCAAAAAACAATTGAAGAGACAATTAAAGGTATACTGAATATTCTAAAAGTATTTAAACATTTTCTTTTCAGCTCTCCTTCTCATTTTCTTATGTTTTACTACAAAAACATAAAGAAATGTTAAAAATTTTTTTCCATGATTATGAATTATAAATCAATAAGATGGAATGCTATGGGGATAATAAAGAATGCTTTAAAATAAACTAACTAAAATTCACTGATAGGCACAATACGAAAAAGGATTCACTAAAATTACTGAGATTTTATCAGCAACATTAAAGCTTGTTAGAATAATTAAAATAATTTCTAAACATGGCAAAGTTTTGGCAAAAGTTTGGTACATATATGGCAAAAGTTTGATACAGTTAATTGCATAAGAAATGCATAATTTTTTGTGCCCAAATTTAGAAAATGTTATCTATGAAATAAGAAACAGCTTCTTATTGAAAGTAAAAATAAAATATACAGATGAAACAATATGTAGTTCATATTTTCATTTCAAAAGATGGTGTTCAGCAAATAAAAAAAAAATGCTGCCTTCACAGTCCATAGTAGAAATAAACAGCAGTCTGTGAGGACTCCAAACATCATTTTGCTTTCTTCATTTGTTACTCATATCTATCAGCACAGCTGAGATAGTCTCAGTATCCTTGAAGATGGTAAAGGAAATTCGAGGTCAAACTGGGAGATATTGCATTTAAATAAAATATCATACTGCCAAGCCTAAGGTATGCTTCAGCTTGCCCTGCCGATATTCTGATCTTTTTCCTGAAGCAAATATCTGATTGGTCACTAAGATTATTACACAGTCTTCTGAAAGCATTTTTAACCCTTTTGTGCTGACTATCACACATACATACCAGCAAGAAATGCCCTTATTTTCCAGCCACCATGCTGGCATGCCAAGCGTATTCTCAATCATTCCATTCTCATCCAATGAGCAGATTAGTGTAGGTCTGAATACATCTATCCTTATCTGCTTGAGTCAGCTCATGCGGCACCCAGCGATTGAACTTGTACTTCAAGTTTATGCGATGCATAGTTCGATTAATGGACATGGCACTAATATCTAACTCCTTAGCAAGCTCTTGAGTGGTTGTATACTTATCTTCTTCCACAAGTTCTCGCAGGCAGGCTTCATCAACATGAGTAGGCTGGCCAGAGCGCTATGCTTCTTGAATGCCATTGTCCTTGTTTTCAACTTTTGGTATCAAATCTTCACAGTGTCATATGATACAGCATTTAGTACCTAAAGCTGTATACATGATATGGTAATGTTCTGTAGCTGACTTTTTGCAATAGAACTGAAAGTAAATGATGGTTCTAATTTGGCAACATGATAGTTCCATTTCAGAAACCTTGTACTTAATGATAATGATAATGATACTTTTTTACAAATTTCACAACACAGTGTTCTAAAGCAAGTCTCTTTCTTTCAAAAAACCAAAAGTCATTTGACAAAATGTGATTAAACATGCCAATATGAACTGTGTGCGCAGACAATAATTGCAGTGGCAGGAAGCTTTTATTAAAACCTACTATTTTCATGTAAAGTAAAGGAAAAAGATTTTAACTGCTAATTTTAACATATATGATAGCTTAAGTAATAATCTAAAAAGTACCAAAACTTATGACATTAGGCTTATCAAAGCAAAATCCTCCATCCTTTGGGACAATTTCTTTCAACTCCTAACCACTCCGAGGGAACGTCTTATACAGAGGTGCACCATCTCACAAGGGTTAAAGTAACACTAGAGGATATGGCTAATCATGATTCAGCTCATGTTGAGGGCTTTATGCACAATATGTAGTTAATCACTAGGCTAGTAAACTGCAACTCCAATGTATGGGTATGCCTATTTGGGCCCTCCATTTCATTGTAGGGCATGTGACATCATTTTTCATTTTAATTCAGGTGGCATAGATGCATATTCTTATCATGTCTGGATCATCAGAGTGGATGTCCTCACTTAATTTGTTTTCTGCTGTTGCTCAAGGCACCATCTATTATCAGTGAGTAAGTGATTGAAAGTGGGTAAATGACCTCTGGCCCAAAACCAAACATCATACTGCCAGCCAATGGAAGACTGTGATTTGGTTGCATATTAAGTGGGATTGTATGTACAACTGTAACAGTGAAGTGTAATATTGATAACTAACATATTTACAAATAATCTGTGAAAAACTAAAAACAACATTACTGATAATACCAACAATAAATTAATAATCAAATATTAAATACACAGAAGTATTCTTTAGCTAACTTTCAAATATAAGTATAGTTAACTGTAATTCATTGTGCGAAAACATAATTTATGCATGCAGCAAGTCTCTAATTGAAAGTTTTTGAACATTTTGTTTACTTGCTTTGAGTGGTACATTTGCAGACTTAACTAGTCACATCCTTTTGGTTTTCCTGTTGGTTTGCTTTGGTTTATTTGATTAAGGCACATGAGGGCTATCTGTCTAAAGTGAGGGATGCCTTATGGAGGATTTCCTAAGGGAAATGGCTTGCATACACATTACACATTGGTAAAACCATGAAAACACCCAAGCAGCCAGCCCATTTGCAGGGATTCGAACCCCAGACCGACAACCAGTTTTCAGCAACTTAACTGCTTAGCTGCTGGCAGTTTTCCTACTGTATTTTAAGTACATCATAATGATTGAATATGATATCAGAAGAGTTGCATAATCCTTGGCTGATAAGCCTTCTTAAAAGAAGCAGACTTAATGACAGATAGAGGGCAGATCGTTAAAAACCCTCTGACACAAGTTATAAAACTGTAACTTTTGTAACATCAAGAAGAAATATTATTAAAAAAGTTTGTGCTTTTGTAACATCATGCTCACATTTCCTAATGGCTCGATTTCTGGTGTTAGCCTCCAGACTGTGACTTGTGAGTGAACCATAAATGAATTTCATGCCACTGTATGACCCACCAGAAGTTTATAACAAAAAAATTAAGAGAACTGAAATCTAGTGCTTATGATAAATCTCAGACTTTCACTTAATTCAATGTCCTCAAAATGACTTACAAAAGCACGGCAAAACTGAAAAAGTTCACGCTTACATTGTATTTACATGAACCAAAATGAACCCTATTTTATTGGCTGTTAATGATTTCATTACTGAAAAATGGCTAGTTTTAGATACGTCATATATTTAGAAAATTGGTTTTAAAATTAATGGGCAAACTCAAAGATTTATGTCCGTATTAATTTAGTCAAGTTTTTAAGTACAGTAAGTCAGAATCACGAAAACTTAGGTTTTATTTATTATTTTAAACATCATATAAAAATAAGTAATTTCTGAGCCTTCCTTAATCATTAATTTTTATTTCTTTTACAAATATATCTCTGATTCTGTAACATGTATGACATTTAAATAATCAAATATTTTTTAAACATTTTATTTTAAAAAATGTCTGGAAATAATTTTATCTAAATTAAAGGAAAATATATCAAAGAGTGTGCAACCAAAAAAAAAAAAAAAAAAAAAAAAAAAGTCTAAATGTTCTAGCATGAATTTGAAACAAAATCAAATCCAATTAAACAACAATAATATTCAAATTCAAAATAAGTTCAATTTTTGTTCAATTTTGGATAATTGAAATTATGAATTAATCATGAATTATTTTGAATAACATTCAGAATAAATTTGCAAAGAATCTCAAAAAGTGCATGAGAAAATCTTGTTTCTTGAGAAATGAAAAAATCAAGAAGTCAGAAACACTGCATGGAGGTTTTCATGAAAATAAATCTCACCTAGTAGCAAGCTCTTGTTTTTAAAATAAATATTAACCATCACTTGTATATCAGCTATATAATGTAATTATTTGTATAACTGATTTAAAATTAGAGAATATTTAAGTATATGCACAAAGTAACTGATTAATTCATAAATAATATATTAAAAATATATTGCACTAAGCTGATTCCTAAACAGGAAAAATTGAGAGTTGTTTACAAATTATTTATGATAAATGTAAATTAAAGAGATAAACTTACAAATTAAAAGTAAGTGAAAATACATAGCTAAACCAAATAAATAAGATAAAAAAGAAATCAAGTTACAAAAGCACCTGAATTTTCAGAATAATTATATTTCAAGATTTTTTCTTGTTTCTGGAACATTTGAAAATTATAATTTAATTAAACAACAAGACTGCATACAACTATACTGCATATTATGAATCATCCTAAATTTCAAATGGCTGCAAAAATTAATATAATTTATCATTTATCCATAAAATATAAAATACAGCTAACGCCAAATTAATATTGCTGTACTTTAAATAAACATAAAAAATGTCTTATGTCTCCCATATTAATACTTTAAATAAGTGCAATTATGATCATTTATATACATAATATTTTTAAAGAAAGGAAGTCAGAATAAACATTTCAATTAAAAGTACAACTACATGAATAGTAAAAAAAAGGTTCAATTTGTTAATAATAAATTATTAAAAGTCCATCTCAAAATTGTGCATATTTTCCACAAATAAACGGACAGCATAGATCACAGTTTCTGTATAAATGTAAATGGATTATTACTGACTAAAACACTTTAATTTTAAGTGAGCAGCTCAGTCACATGATTAATTTAAATAATGTATTCAATCCATGTAATTAATGTTTGGACTGTCAAATAAAAGATGTCTACTATACAAGTTATTTTTCTCCTATTCACTATATCAATATCTATGTTTTTTATCAACTTTGTTTCATATATGTTCTTTTTATTTGTTTATTATTATTATAGCCAAATTATGCTATTTTAACTCAATATTACACTTGCTTTTATTCACCTCTGTAGATCTAAAAGTGAAAATATTACACTTGCTTTTATTCACCTCTGTAGATCTAAAAGTGAAAATATTACACTTAAAATGTTAGCTGATCACATCAATTAAAATTTTTAAAAAATTTGTCACAGTTACTATTCCATTACAATTTTATTATCACTTCATTCAGTAAAGTATTCAGTCAATCAGTATTATCACTTCATTCAGTATACAATTAAAGTAATAATGCAGTTCAGTAAAAATACTCAGACAGATTTCTCAATTTATACAAAATAACAAATAAATTAACTCTAAAATGCATACTAAAATGATGACAAATATAATTGCAACAACCTTTTAGATGTTCAAACTGTAATAGAAGAACTTTCTTAATTTCTTTCACCCAAACCTCTTTTACTTCAACTGAAGGTGCCTAAGAAAGTTTGATCAATAGAGTATTATAAATTAAAGGAAGCAATTAAAAAAATTTTCAACTTAGAAATTTAAACCTATCTAAAAATGTAGAATGTAACACATACATTTGATTTGAATATATAAAGAACTTGAGAAACTTAAATCAGAATAAAAAATTAGAAATATTTGATTTCATACTTTATAGTTAAAAGTATATAATCAATAAGACATTTGACTGTGATTTACAAGAAAGAAAATCACGAAAAATTGCAACTACAAGGAGAGAAAACTAAAACTAAGCACATAATTTTCCTTTCTCTGAAGCATTCAAACCTAATGTTATGTTAGCTATGTTTCATTATTTCTACTAAATTTTCTTACTGATTATTTTCCTATATATTTATCATTTTCTGCCAGCTAACTCAGCTGCTATTCATTAAATTGTTTAAGACAGTCTTTCATTTCATTTTATAAAAAATGTGAATGTGAATAGCACTTGAAAAAAAAAATCTGAAAAGTAACTTCTGTTTAAAACAGAGCCCACATATTAGTTAAAAAATTATAAAAGTCTGCTTTGCGAATAAGTTACTAATGACATTATTGCAGTAAAGGCCCAACTGCCTAGCATTCAACTAGCTGAAAAACTCAAGTAACTGAATTTTTTTTTTTAATAATTTCTCTCTTTTTTTTAAACATCCTATTCAAAAAATTAAGGAAATGCAAGATTTGTTAAGCTATGAAAAAGCGCAAAACAGAACTCTCAAAATCCCATCAATAACTTCTAAAATATGAATATTATTATAAGGCTCTCTTTTAGAAGATATACTTCTGACTCATCTTATTCCAAAAACTCATCCTTAGAATAAGACACACATCATAGAAAGAAAGGTGGGGAGTTACTACCAAAGAACTTCTAATGGGAACTTTGATTAAAAGTTCTCTGTTACTATGGCTACTGAAAGATTCCAATGCTCCCAATAGGCTAGCATGATAACCATGCCTGCCAAAAGGTGAGGGGAAGGAATCACTAGAGCAACAAGCTTTCTCAGTTCTATTAAATGCATTTTAGGCAAATGTCTTAAAATTATTTTAAAAACTTGGAATTTAACCTACTTTCCCCTTGACCATTTTTGACAAACAAAAACTGTTGCAAAATAATGTGATTTAATGACAATAGTATAAAAGCATAATGTCACCGCACAATCACAAGATCTTCACCTTAGTTTTATGTAAACAATTCATTTTTGATAAGCCAGTTTAGTTTTTTAAGAATATATATATAACTGGTATTTATCTGCTTGCTTGGAAAATGGTTACAAATTAGAATCTCCCTAATATGGAGTATTTTTAGAGTTACAGATTCCTAGCATCAAGAAAAATGTGTTTTATTGGAAACAATACATATTTTTATTTGAAAACCAATTAACAACAGCAAATGCAACATGAAAAATTCTGATATATGATTTAAGTTTTTTTACACGCTATATCTATGACTTGAATCTTATTCTAACTAAACAAAGAAGGATTTTTTTCCCTTCAACCTTAAAGCTTCCTCCAGAATGAATGGCCTATGTTTAGTGACACCTCTGCCAACTCTCATGATTTATGGTATTATATAATTGGTTAAGATGTTTTAATTTCTTATGCTGAAGGCTGACAAAATAAATAGGATTTTACATACAAAATAGATATTTTTTAATTTTACATAATTTTAAATGCAGGCTGATAACAAAGAAGATGACTGTATTTATAATTTTACACTGGAAATTTTTTTTCTTCATCCACATGGCTTTTCTACCATAAATTGCATTTTGTATATGCTCAACAACTGAGAACATGATTCTGTGCCATTCCATCATCCACATTGCTTGAGCTCAGCACCACTGCAGACATTGATGTCTATTACGTGGGGTCAATGGCAGTCTTCTTAACAGACGGCATGAGTGCAGGCCACTAGCTACCGATCGAAGGAAAATGGTTCTGGTCAATATGGGTATATACATCAAAAGTGTCTTGAACATGCTGCAGAATGGAGGAAGAAGTGGCCTGTGGGTGCACCACCACTTGTCAGTGATATCACTTTGACTGCAGCACCACTCGAACTTGCCTATTTCCTTGTTCCAACCATTGTTGACACAGCCGGTGCACTGTAGATGTGTCCAGGTGTGTGTCAGCTGAGATTTGCCATATGGACCAACCTGTCCTTCTCAGTCCGATAACCCTGCCCCTTGTAAAAATAGTCTGTCTGCTGAAAACTGCCTCCACTGACAATGGCCTGACATTCTCTGCTATTACAAGAGACAAGAGCAAATTCTCTACGATTTCCTTAGTAGAAATAATGGCATGAGAATTGAACATTCTACAGTTCCTTCCCTTATATCTTCTTCAACGAGTGTTGGAGAGCTGTGCATTTCGCAGCATTCATATAACTCAGTGACGTGTGTCTACTCGGAAATTTGCAGAATTTCCAGGCCACTCCTTTTTCATGCTGCATTTTCAATGTAGCATGTGTATATTTGAATATATACTATACAGCCCTTAAGATACATTAATATATGAAATAAAATAACACTTTCAAAACTTTTACTATGAGATTTATACTAATGTTTTGCTTTTAATATTTACATATTAAAAAAGAAATTAGATATTAATAAATCAAAAATTATTAAGTTTCTTTTTCATATTTAAATAGATATACCTCATCTAATTCCTTACCATCACTATAAGATTTCATGCCACTATCATTTTATACAATTTCAACATTTCTTTATCAAAATATTCAATTCAGTTTTGATATTCTTTCATACCAAAATAATTTCATGCTGATGTACAGAATTTTATATGCTGATGCATAAAATAACACTTCTGTTGTGCTATTTAATACATTTATATTCATATAAGAACAAAGGAAAAAACTAACATTATTTTTAAATATGCTTTGTCAAGTTTTGTTAACTCTAATTTTCAAACACTAAAAATATATTCCCTGTTCTTTATATTTATCTTAAAGTTTGATTATATCATTTTTTATCAAGACCATAATGTCTATCTCTAACATATATTCTGAATATTTATTTTATTTTTTTCATGTACATATAAATATAAATATACTTTCTAGCATAAATACACATATTTATAAGAAGTATTTTTATTATAAAAGTTAAATTTTATTTAATAAATACTGCACTTAATAACCTAACAAATTTAGAATATTATATTAACAATGAAATTTTACTTTAGAAGATTTTGAGCATTTTAAAGGTGGTCTGGTGGTGTGGTGTATTTAATTATAGCAAAGCACACGAGGGCTATCCGCCTAAAGGGAGGGATGCCTTTCGTGGAGGACTTTCTAAGGGAAACTGGCTCGTATACACGTTACACATGGGGAAAACCACGAAAACGCCCATGCAGCCAGCCCGTTCGCGGGATTCGAACCTCAGACCGAACTACCAGTGTTCAGCGTCTTTACCGCTCGGCCGCTGGTGGGCTGAGCATTTTAAAGAAAAAATAATAATAACTATAGCATAATAAATTATAAATTAAAATTAAAACTTTTGTTGATATTTTCTGAATATATAACAAAATAGAACTACAAATTCAATTTACATAGTTTAAGGTACTAGATACATTTCTCACATCATTACAATAATACAGCTCAACATTAATCTGTCACTTAGGTGTGTGAACACATTTTCAAAATGGTTTCAGTAAAGGATTAAAAAATGTAAACATTGTGGAATAAAAAAAAATATTTTTCTTTCAAAGTGTTGCATGTAAACATGCTGTGGGTTGATGGGTATATTTTTGCCTTTTCTGAAGCAGAAAAGCATTTTCACTTAGCAATTCAAAACTATTATAAAACACAATATAAAAACTTCGAAGTGCAAAACATGCAAAACAATTAATCAGAAAGTGAATAAGCATCAGTCGTTACTTTTACATGCATACAAAATTTTATACAAACATCTGAAAATACAAGTACTTTTTCTAATGTGAAGACTCTGTTTACAACAACAAAAAAGAAAAAAAGTCTGCTAGTGAAAAAAGCAATTGTGTCTTCAAATATATCTGTAGCAATAATAAACAAAATGATAAACAAATATTTACAGCTTAAAAAGCAAAAATAAATAAATAAATAAAAATATTAAAATAAAATGCTCTTCAGCTTTTGGTGAAGCATATGGGTGAATTAAAAAAAATATTGCAGAGCCCCATATGAATACCAGTTAGCAAGAGCTAAGCAGAGATGTAATAATGAAACATAGGTTTGCTTAAATGACTGCAACAAAAATGTCTACCTATTATCAAACATGAGCTGAGAAAGATGTATAAACCTCGTTTCAATAATGCAAAGAAAGTTTCAATGAGAAGCTTATGGCTGTTGTAGATTTCATTTAAATGAGAAATTAAAAATAAAAAAAAAGCAGCAAAAAAGTGCTAAAATCAACTCATTGCGCTATCAGGAAAATATTTTGTGTCCAATATTTACAGAATTAGTCCCCCCCCTCATTTTTTGTTTTTTTTAAATCTTAGTGACCTTCAAAAAGTAAAACTAATATCAATCAAAAACCACCAATCATACCTAGAAAGTTATCACTGCATTCCTTAAAATAAATGACGACTGTTACAGGTTTAGCATATAATACCTTTTCAACATCATTTTTTCTCCATATACAGTACAGTCAAAAGTCGTTAATTCGGACACCCATAATCCGGACCTCAAAGCTAAAAACTTTCTGCGCATGCGCCGCGTTGGCACATGCGCACAGACGTTTTACGCGTGCGCGTAAGACCTTGACTACTGCGCAAGTGCAGAATACGTTTTCGCCTGCGTGTTTAATGTATAACGGACGGTGTAAGCTAAAATTATCTAATTATCTATTTCAGTTAATGTTAATGATTGCATTGTTCCTTAATCTTCGAATTGGGTCCCGCTTATTAATTTTTGCAGACTGTAAGAGCAATTTTATAAAAGTAAACTTGAACTTTCGATTATGTCAAATAGAATTTCCGATTGCTGGAACTTCCAAAGGATCTACAAAACGAAAGTATGTTTCGATGTCCAACAAACAAAAGTGGAATTGCTTCAAAAACTGGATAAAGACATGAAGAATGTCACAGAGAGGTTAGTGAAAACGAAAAAATTTCGATTGACAAGTTATCGGTAGTATTCTCGGCACAGCAATTAACGGGACTTGAACAGCGGAACTTTGTAACTGAACAAGAAATTATGTCTTGTTATAGAATTAAAGAGAAAGTATGATCACATAAAACGAAGCAACTTAAACAACTTACATTGAAAGAAATGTTTAATAAATTAAACAAATAAATATTAAGCTTTTTTTTTTTTTTTTTTGTAAATTTTGATACCCTTTAGATCATAACTGTTCTTTATTTCATAAATTACGGTTTCATATTTTTAATTTTAGAATTTCTGCATGCCATATTACGAGATTTAAACTGATGATCTATAATCCGGAAAAATCGATAATCCGGAATCGCCGAAGTCCCGACGAGTCCGGATTAACGACTTTTGACTGTAGTTTGTCTATGGATTATAGTGACTTTGGCTCACTGAAAAAAAAAGCTGCTTTTTTAAGTACAAAGCCCAGCATCACCGAAGAACTCTAGCTAAAAAGTAACGGAAAGCATCACAGTTGAAACCTTTGAGAAAATTTTTTTCATTATGGAGAGCATGATGCAGGATTATAGTCCCGAAAAAGGTTTTCAGATCAAACATTTAAATAATAAATATTTACATTTTGAATATTCACTAAAGAGTTTTAAAAGTTTTACAGAAATGTGCTACTATCTTCTACAGTTAAAATTTTATCATGTTATAAAAGTTTCATTCAAGAGAATAAAATAAAATGCTTTAAAATTGTCAAAAATATTTAAAAAAATGTAGTTTTTTCACATAATTTTTAATATGCTACCGAATAATTTTTATTTAAACTCATTTTTAATATGTTTACAAAGAGCAAGATTTATTCATTAAGTGAAATTATGTAAAATGACCACTTGCACCTTTGATAGTTGTAAGTATTTTTCAGAACAATATATAAATGGTACTGAACATTGGTGACAATCATGTTCTTTAAGGTTATCACCACCACAAAAGACCACTGTATACTTATACAGTCAAAAGTCTTTAATCCGGACATCCATAATCTGGACCTCAAAGCTACAAACTTTCTGCTCATGCATCAACGCATAATGTGTTAAAGCATGCGCATAATACCTTTACACATGCACATATGCGTCTACGCATGCGCATAATACGTTTACGCATGTGCATTTAAAGTACAACGGACGGGGGGGGGGGGGCGACGTGGTGCGCAATGAACTGGAAGTTGATCTATCTTCAGGGCAGATGTTTTATTTTATTCGGCTTATAATCCTTTACTAAATGTAGTAGTTCATCTCGATGTATTCCGTCTTTGATATGATTTAAATCAAATTCCTCATCATTATAAATATCATGAATACACATCAAATAGTTTTCTGGTTGTAATTTTCTAATTTCGACTATGCGTAATGTATGCTTTACGCATGCGTGCATTGAAAGAAATGTTTTATAAAAGTAAACAAATAAATATAAAGCTTTTTCTTTTTTTTGTAAATTTTGATACCCTTTAGATCAGGGATGGGCAAACTACGGCCCGCAGGAAGGTTCTATCCGGCCCGCGGATATAATTTTAATTTGCCGGTCAGAGGCAAATTAAAAGAAATATTCATATATTATATATCCATCTCCTTTTCTACTTTGTTTAAATATTATATTTTTTCTTTCTTTTTTTCAGAGAGCTGGTAATCCGTTTACATTCTCTATTTTTTGTTCTACAAAACATAAATCGAAGGAAATAGCAAACACAGGCAGTTTTCAATCGGTAAAGTGTTAAAAGCGGAAATTATTTGTTAGTTATAATAGCTGTAGATTGGCACCAACAAGCGCTATCTTTTTCTTGTGGAGCAGACATATGGAAATTCAATATGGGTGAATTAGACCTCACATGTGGCAGACTGCGCATTTTAAGCTCCATCTAGCGGCTTTTTCTTTTGGCGCGAGTTCTAATATTATTGATTGCGTGTTGAAAGATTGTGGACATATAGCATCATTGTGAATAGTGGTGAAATTATTAAAAGTATAGCGTAGCTAGTGCTTGTTTGGGTTATTCGTAAAATATTTCAACCCCCAAAATGGCTACGAAAAAAGTAAAGTTGATTCAGAGTGCCGCGCTTTTAATGATGAATGGACATGGAAATATTTTTTTTCAGTTGTAAAAGATAAACCAGTGTGTCTTATCTGCAATGAAGCTGTAGCAATCTTCAAAGAATATAACATTTCCCGTCATTTCACATCTAAACATAAGAATTCCAATTACGAAGCAATGTCCAAATATGAAAAAAAAAAAAAAAAAAAAAAAAAAAAAAAAAAAAAAATGCAGAAAGTCTTTGTAAAAAATTATCAGGCCGGCAAAATTTTTTCAAGAAGGTAAACAGTATTCAAGAAGCAGCTACACATGCAAGTTACATTGTAGCATACAATATTGCTAAAAATAATAAAGCTCTCAGTGATGGGGAGTTCGTTAAACAATGCATGCTCCAAGTTTGTGATGTTTTATGTCCAGACAAGAAAAATAATTTTGAGACTGTAAGCTTATCTCGAAAAACAGTGACTTCTAGAATGGAAGCCATCGATAAAAATTTGGCATCACAATTAGAGTCAAAGATTGGCCAGTTTAAATTTTGTTCCATAGCTATGGATGAAAGCACTGAATATAAATGATACTGCTCAATTAGTATTATTTATAAGAGGTGTTGATGAGAACTTTGAAATTATTGAGGAACTGGCATGCATGCGTTCTTTAAAGGGAACTAGAATGGGATATGATATTTTTCGTGAATTTCAGGAAGGGCTTTTAACTTTGAAAGTGCCTATAACAAATATATGTAATATTACAACCGATGGAGCACCAAATATGATAGGAAAAAAATCTGGATTTCTTGGACTCTTTAATCAAAACTATCCCGGGAACAATGTTGTTTTTCTACATTGTGTTATACATCAAGATGCTCTGTGTAAATCTGCATTGAATATGAAACCCGTGCTTGATACAGTCGTGAAGCTTGTAAATACTATTCGATCTAGTGGGCTTACTCACAGGCAATTTCGAGATTTTTTTTCAGTCAGTGCAATCTGAATACTCTGATGTACTGTATTACATGAAAGTAAGGTGGCTTAGTGCAGGATGTGTTTTCGAGCAGGTTTGGCAGCTGAAAGACGACATTGTGTCGTTCTTCCATGAGAAACAGTGTTCTGCGGAGTGTGAAATGTTAGAAGATACAAAATGGCTTTCAGACTTTGCATTTTTCACAGATCTTCTTTGTCATATGAACAACTTGAATGTCAAGATGCAAGGGAAAAATTAATTTATCGACGATATTTGGTCACATCTCAAAGCTTTTAAACTAAAACTTAATATGTTTGCTGCGCAGCTAGGTAAGAACGACTTATCTCATTTCCCAAGGTTAAATTCAATACCCTCAGTAAATGAAGAGAACCTTAAGAATTATGAAGATAGCTTGAAAAAACTGCATTTTGAGTTCGAATGCAGATTCCAAGATTTCAGTGCCATTCAAGCAGAATTGGATATTTTTACCATGCCATTCAACGTAAATTGTGAAGCAGTGAGGTCAGATTTGCAGCTTGAATTAATTGAGTTGCAATCTAACAATCATCTCAAGCAATTGTTTCTAAATATGCCAAAGTTAGAGTTTTACAAATCATTATCGAAAGTAAGTTTCCCAAATTTAATATCTCATGCCCAGAAAATCAGTGCTATGTTTGCTTCATTTTATATATGTGAACAAGTGTTTTCAACTATGAACCTTAGAAAGAATTATTTCAGAAGCAGACTGACAGATGAGCATTTAGCCTCGTTCCTTAGAATCAGTACATCTCACTTCGAACCTCAATATAAGGAACTTTTAAAAATGAAATCACAATTTCATTCATCTCATTAATATATTAAATTGTAATACTTGTATATTGTTTTTAAAATTTTACAAAAATTCATCTTGGCCCGCCAAACTTTATTTTTTCGATTTTTGGCCCGCGATCGAAAAAGTTTGCCCATCCCTGCTTTAGATCATAACTGCTCTTTATTTATTAAATTATGGTTTCATTTTTTTAATTTTTATAATTTCTACATGCTATCTTACCAGATTTAAACTGATGATCTATAATCCGGAAAAACCGATAATCCGGAATCACCGAAGTCTCAACGAGTCCGGATTAAAGCCTTTTGACTATATTACCATTTTTAACAAATTTACTTGTAACATGTAAGTTGTATTTTATGTAATAAATTTGAAATATAATCATTACAACTGATCAAAGTAAATTAAACGTCTTACCTGTATTATAAATACCTGAGAACGCCCATGCAACCACAATTCAAATTTTCTTTTATCACCTCTATATCCTTTCATATTTTCTGTTAATCCTATCTGCGAGGTCTGGAAATATAAATAATCAAGAGCTGTTAAAAATAACTATTTAGAAAAAATTTGAATTTTAATTGAGGAATTTACTGATATTTTTTCTTAAATTACAATGATGCTACAAAAACAGTGAGCAAAAGAAATATTGAACTGAAAGTAATAAAGTTTTATTTTATTCACAGATTCTTTCTTTTTTAATTAATAAATATAATTTAAATCTCATTCCATAAATAGATAGTCATGCTGTTTTTATTTTGAATGACATGAAATGTTAAAATCTCAGGAGAACATTTGTAAAATACATTATTTCTATACCTTAATTTATCAGTAAGGTAAAGAAATAACAATTCAATAATAAATGGAAAGAGAATAAAAATCTCAGACTATATAGAGGAAAAAAAAAAAAAAAAAAAGGGAGTGGTAAGTCTGGAGTGGAAGTCTTCAAATTTTTTATCTAATAAAATTATCAAAAGATGTCCTTAACCTAGTATAATAATTTCCCTTAAAATACTCATTTTATCAAAATCTGTCAGTGGAATAACTTTACTATTAAACTTATTTCCACTGAACTCGCTCCAATATTCAGCTATCATTTACTCTCTCTGTATATACATATAGATCACTCTTCCACTGACTTGCTCCAATATTCACCTATCTATTTGATGTTTTTATGCATATTATTTCAAGTATTAGTGTATCCCTCTACAGATTGCAAAAAGTATCACTTGAGCTGCTTCAGCTTTTGAAATATTGCATCCTGGTACAAAATAATCTTTGCTAATGATAAAACAGGACAATATTTTCTTAAGAAATATGTTCTTTTCAATGCATAAATAAATGCTAATATCACAGCTGAATTCACAGTACAACTGTGTCACTGGTAAGTAGGTTTAGTATACCAGGGCCCTAATTTGAACTAAAAATAATATTATTCTTTTATATTTTGTGATTTTTCTGGAATAAATTCATCTGACACCAGAATACACCCCCCCCCCCCCAAGAAAAAAAACCTCAAAAGATTTAGAGTACCATATTTTGATCTGGGAAACAGAAAAATAGAGGAGAAAGTCTTTATACTTTTCTGATGAAATTTGGAAGGCTAAAAAAGAAAAGATTCATGAGAAGCAGGACTAATAATCACTAAAAGCCTAGGTTATTATTAAACATGACATTGTTTTGCTTTGAGGCAGCACATATTCTGTTATCACTTTAATGTCACTCAGCATAGGTCTTGGAAAGAGCATAGATGTGAAAACTATAATATATTTTTTTTTTTGTGTGTGTGTGCATGTGGCAACAGTACAAGACTAGTTTTAAGATTCTGTGTGCATGTGGTAATAGTATAAGTAAATAATGTTAGGGAAAAAAATTCAAACAACTTCACAGACTATAGTAGATAACTTATTCAGTTCTCTGTTAGCTAAAGGAGTGAAAAAGATTAATTCCAGCTAAAGAAGAAGTAAAGTTCAAATACAAATTATCATACTGCATAAGTCTTGCATAATTGTTTCTATGATCCATTTTATTTCAGTTGTAAATGTATATGAAATGTTGCATCAAACTGAAAGAGAAACACTCCAAAGTAAAGTTTTAAACTAAGCAAAAAAGCAATTTCAGATTGTAGAGACATTGGGTATTTTGGAAGCAGGAGAGATGAAAAATGAGCGACGCCTTCACCAGGACTCGAACCATGGGCTTCTCGAATATGCGCTGAGTGTGCTGACCATTACATTACGAAGGCATGCTAAGAAGATGGGAGAAATACCATATATACTCCCCCTTTTAAAGATAGACTGGGGTTTTAGGGGACGCAATCACCAAATCCTGGTGGTGAAGAATCATCATTCACCACCTTTTAGTTCAGGTGCCGCTGTAGAGACATTAGGTATTTTTGAAGTTGAAAAGATGAAAAATGAGCAATGCTCTCACCGGGACTTGAACCACTGATCTCTTGAATATGCATCGAGCGTGTTGACCTCTACACTACGAAGGCATGTTATGAAGGCGGGAAAAATACCTTATAAGGTTCATATTTAAAATATATGCTAACCTAAGATTGCTTTTTTGCTCATTTTAACACTAAAATGTTGCATGGTTAATTTTTTAATGAGTTTTATTCTGCTTCATTTTTTACATTAACAAAATACCATCTGATTATCCTAACATGATCAAAAATTTGTTAATATGTTCAACATTTTTAAAAGACATATTTAAATGAATAAAAATGCATTTTATTCATGAAAACATATAGATTTAAATTTGGAATATATCTAAAATAAAAATAGCATTTGGAAATTTTAATATACAAATCTATAATCAAGCAGTACTTTTAAAGTAAAATGATTGCCCGTTCACTTCATTAATAAAATAATACAGTACAAAGTCTTTAATCTGGACGTCCATAATCCGAACCTCAAAGCTACAAACTTTCTGTGCATGCACATATGCGTTTACGCATTCGCATAATACCTTTACGCATGCACGTTTAATGTATAACGGATGACATAAGCTAGGCTAAAATTATCTCATTATCTATTTCAGTTAATTTTGCAGATTGCGTTGTTCCTTAATCTTCTAATTGGATACAGCTTATTATTTTTTGCAGACTGTTAGAGCAATTTTATAAAAAGTAAGCTTGAACTTTCGATTATATCAAAAAGAGTTTCCGATTCTGGAGCTGCCCAAGAATCTACAAAGCTAAAGCATGTTTCGATGTCCATCAAACAAAAAGTGGAATTACTGCAAAAAATGGATAAAGGCATGAAGAAAGTGACAGAGAGGTTAGTGAAAAAAAAATTTCGATTGGCAAGTTAGTCGGTATTCTAGGCACAGCAATTACGGGACTTGAACAGCAGAACTTTGTAACTGAACAAGAAATTATGTCTGTTTATAGAATTAAAGAGAAAGTATTAGCACATAAAACAAAGCAACTTAAACAACTTACATTGAAAGAAATGTTTAATAAAGTAAACAAATAAATATTAAGCTTTTTTTATTTATTATTTATTTATTTTTTATTTTGACACCCTTTAGATCATAATTGCTCTTTATTTCATAAATTACGATTTCATATTTTTAATTTTATAATTTCTGCATGCCATCTTACCAGATTTAAACTTATGATCTATAATCCGGAAAAAAACCTAATCCAGAATCACCGAAGTCCCGACGATTTTGGATTAAAGACTTTGTACTGTATATATTTGAGTATAAAAATTTACGATACAAAAGTAAATATCTTAAATTAAAAAAGCATAAAGAGATACGACTGGAAAAAGTGTCCATCTAAATAATGTCATGAAAGTGTAAAAAACTGCATAAAATTTAAATGATTTTTTGGGGGAGGTTTCCAGAGTCACATGACAAATTTAACCATCCAAGTAACAGAATCAACTGCTATTTTAAATCCATCAAACATTTACTTAAACATTTATTTATGAATTAAATGGCAAATCATAAGGGAATTATACAGTAAAAATAAATGATACAACTTATTCTATCAATTTAAAGTTTGAAATGTGAATACGATTCTTTAAAAGGTGATGTTTAATATAAAATCAATAAATAATAGTTCATGTTGAGAATTCTTAAACTAACCTTTAGAGCATTTTTAAATGCATAACTAGGGTTGTCATCTCTACCATATTTCTTAGTAAAAAGAACTAACTGCTCGTATAAAAAAATGTAGCGCGAACGTGGCTTAAAGCGAAGTTCACGAATCCTTTCCTTTTTTCTTTCCATCCATACGCTAAATGCACTTTGAAGTAGAAGCTTTCCATAATCAGCCAAGCTGCCCTATAATACAAAAACTCCATTTTATATCGCATATACATTATTGTGGAGTCAGTTATACTTCGGCTTTACAGTACTTTTCTTATGAATTTATACATATTTCTAGAATTATACAATACTCCATAATTAAGATAAAGATTTTAGTCTATATAAATACTTCGTAACTTAAAATTTTAACTTTTAAAATGAAACATAGAGAGAGTTACATGAAATAAAGAATTAAATCTTACACAATTTTATAGTTTTGTGCAAAACTAGATTGAGAATTTAATTTGATAATCTAATCAAATTAATAAATGTATCTAACAATTAAATTGCACTAACTATAAAATATTTAATAAATATTAATGGTATCAAGAATAATAGGCAGCAAAAAGTCTTTTCACCTCAGTTAGCAGAAATGAACTTGATTAATATGTATTTAGTACAACATATTTGAATAACATCAAAATTTTAATTTCACTTTTGTCATAAGCATTTTTACTGTTGATACTAAAAAAATATTGTTTGACAATTTACCAAGCAGTAACACTGTTTCCCACTTTACACTTACTTTTAGGCATTTTAAAAACTTTTCTAAAAAAACAATTGCATTACATAATTCAAACACTTTTCAAAAAAACTTTAAACAAAGTAATTCAAACCTTGTTTGAAAAATTTAAATTATATTTAAAACACATTTAGAATAATTTATAATACATTGCTATTATTATTATGAGTATGAATGACTGACAAATGAATGAATGAATAATGTAAAAAATTACTTTCATGATAAAAATATTATATGATTTAATGTTTAGAATTTAAGCTACCCATATATCCAGATAATATTTTCTGCAGAGGAAAAAAATACAGAACTTACATAGAAACCTGTTATAGCAATTTGATGCATGCTATCATTTACATATTTCAAAACTTCTAACATAGCATCAACTGCTTCTTGAAGATCCGACTGGCCTGTATCTTCATCTACACACTTTAATAAATCCTGCAACATAAGACTATCTTTAGTAAAATAATCTACAATAATTCAGTATCAGAAACATAAAGAAGTTAAAAAAATACCTTTAAAAGTAATTGATACTTTGTTATCCTTTGGACAGGTTTTAATAAATAAGCTCCTAGAGGCAGCTTATGGCCTAAATTCCTTTGACATTCCTTTAAATGAAAGAAAAATAATAAGCAAGCAGATTTTAAGAAATCAAATTATTTCTTGCTTTTTAAAATCAGATTCAAAATCTTTTTTAGCATACTTTTTTTACAATATTTTGTGATTCTGTTCAATGATATATATGATTTCACATAACAAAAGTTCTTTATGTTAAGATTAAATTGCTTATAAAAATTCTCAAATAAAGAGCCATTCCAAAATTTTTATGCAAGGTGTATAAACGCTGCCCACTTTACAAGCTTCACAGATATGAACAAACTGCACGATGCTATACAATGCTATCATCACATTCAGGATGAAAGAAAAGGAAAACATGTTCTGACAATTTTAGACACTCACTTTCTTAAGAAAGTGACTTCAAAAATTGTCATCGGTGTATCTAACATGCCAATTCCCCCCCTTTCATACAACCTCCTCATCCCAAACATCCTCTTTACTTGTTGATGAGTCTTCAGAAGGCGACCATGTGAAGATTTACTAGCATAATCTTCACTCCATTCACACATGCCTCAAAGATAGTAATCCAAAGTAAATACTAGTATAATAGTATAGTGATTCTTATTTTATTTATAAATCTCTGTTTATACTAAATTTAAAATGTTTATTCATTTAGTATTTTTAATTGAAATGAAGAAGATTTAATAGTATTTATAGCTCTTATCTATGAAAATTGTTACGAGATATATGCAGTGAATTTAGTAACATTTTACAAACAAATTCATGCTGCAAATGGTCATTTAGAACATAACTCATTGGTAAGGTAGGGAGCATCTGTATATGCATCCTTTCAAACTCTCTGTAACACAGTTAGAAATATGCAAAAATGATAATAAATGTTACAGATGTAAACATAGACACATAAATGGTTGAGATAGTTTATAAATGGGAAAAAAAAAAAAAAAAGGAAAACTAAATAAAAAATATGTAAAAAAAATTAAGTAATTTTCAGTATCAATTGACCATTTATGTTCTAAATTTACTATCATTCATATTCATAATTGATTCTCCTTCCCTTTGTGAAAAAATTTCAATAAAATAGAAAACTTGAACAATCGAGTATACCTTGAAAAATGGGTTATCATCGCCACACTGTCTACGTAAGGCTTCAGACTTGGGCTTGTTGAGACAGTAAGTAGTGTACAATTTATGGAAGGCATCCCGCTAAATATTTATAGAAATAAAATTTACATAATTGCTTCAAAATCTATCACACTGTAATGCCAAACAAAAATAATTAGTATCACTAACTATTTGAAGATATAATTTTAATAACAGTTAAACTTCTCACCCTGTTCACAAAACAATGCCCAACTAATTCTGGGGTACTACTACAGGCTTGGAGGTCTCTAAGGAAGACACTATGAAGAGAGGGAAAAAAATGAATTTTTACCATAATTTTAAATAATTATAAATTAAACTTCTATTTTGAGTATATGGAATCCTTTCTGCTAGAAATTATTCTTATTAAATTTCATTCACTAGTGTTTTCCAATACATGAATAAATAAATAAAGCTTCACTTCCAGAAATAGCATACAAAATGAAAAAATGTCTTTGTAAATAAGATAAAACAGTCTCAAAGTATGATTTTTTTTCAAACTGTGGTAGCAATAACTTTGTTTATTATCGTCAGAAAGTATATCTCAGAATATGAATAAACACCTTAACCAAATTCTTTATCTGAGTATTCAGAAATTAATTTTACAAGAAATTAGAAGAATATTTCAGAATACTAAAATATGACAAAACACTAAATTTCAGTATATAACACAGAGCAGTTATTTGTGTTCCTTTAAAATTTAAAATCAATAAGCCAAAAAAAGTAAATTATGCAATTTAAAATAAATTTTAAAAAATTGGCTATTTGAAAGATTTTGGTCTTGAAATTCATTTCTAGTGGATGTCTCAGTATGAAAAATAAAGATTCACATAATTTTTTTTTAAAATATGGTAATAATTATATATTGTTTCTCATAACAACACAATTAAAAGCTGAAACTCTAGGTCAATCAATGTAACAGAGAAGACAAAAGAAGACAAAAATTGCCCCTAAAAATTGGTATAATGTAAGTGCAATAAGAAGGAACAAACGGATGTCATCTCAAGAAGATTAAATATAATTTATTTCTGGATGATGAATTTTTTTAGCATATTATCTTTTAAACTGATAAAACACAAGGGGTGCTAAATACACCCCACAATTTTAGATATGTAACTACATCTCAAATAGCGGAGAACAGCTAGCAGAGGCTAAGCAATACATTGTCAGAAAGGCAAACTGATGAAAGAGAATGTGTAGTCCATTATGGTGCTAATTAAACTAATTAATAGCAGAGAAAGCTAGCAGAGGATAAGTGACATGTTGCCAGCAGGAAGGCAGAATGACAAAAGAGAATGTGTAATCCATTATGGTGCTATTTAAGCTTGGAAAGTCTTTGTTTTAATTCTGAGCAGTGACTGGGTTAAAGATTTCGCAGTATAGCAAAATTGCACGGAAAACATTACCTAGTTCTGAATTAGCTACATCATCAGCATTATTAAATCACATATATAGATTAATCTAGAAATGACGCAGTCAAGAGAAACAGCAGAGAAAGAATGACACAACATGAAGTAGTGTGGCACAAAATGGAGTATGGTTGAAGTAGGCAGGTATTTAATTAAAATTTATGAATTTAAAGGTTACCTGGTTCCTATTGTTACCTGGTTCCAATTGATGGTTAAAACATAATTTTTATTTTGAATAAAAACAGTTTTCTTGAGAAATACATTTCTCCTTAATTTGTACAACACTAGGGGTGCTAAATGCAGCTCTCAATTTCTATATACACAGCTTGCATTTAGTTAATAGAAAAAGAAGCTTAGTGAAGAGACATGACCTTTCTAAGCAGAGCAAACAGCAAAACAGTGACATAAGTAGCTGTCACTAATTATAATCTCAGAACACTGTTTTAATTCTGAGCAGCACTTGAGCAAAAATCCACAACAATGTGCTTACTGCAGGGAAAATGCAGAAGCCTTGATAGGGTTTGTGCTTTAATTGAAAATTAGAAATTTAAAGATCTGTTGTTAATTTGTTCCAATTAAGCTTAATTTGTTGATAAATTTTGGACACATTTTTATATCTTACATATATTTTATCAAAGGAAACAAGTTTTTTCCAGTATATACATGAACTATCATCTCTTATCAATTGTTTAAGTTATTAAATGCAGAAGAAAAAATCTGATGTGGGCACAGCATGACGTTCTTGTACAGCCTATTAAAAATTCTTTTTAGAACAAAAATAGGCTGATATTAAATATTGTTAGATATTTATAACAATAAACTGATATTAAATAATATTGTTGGATATTTATTATTAGACTAACTACATATATAAACTGTTATTATACACATAGTTAAATTTTGTAATTTGTTAAATATTATTTTTTAAAATTTAGTTGCTAAAACATGAATATTTTAACCATTTAAAATACTTCTGTAAATTGAAATATGTGACTATGACTAACCAGTGTGAAAATAAAGGTCAGGTAAGAGCTTTTGTGAAGGGTAAGTGGGTGGAAGGGTAAGTGGATATATGTGTAAGATAAAAAATACATAAATCAAAATTATAATTTAAACTAACAATAACCCCTTAATTTTCCCTCTCTATTCTAAAAGTCATAATAACTTCTCTGGACTACATCATTTCTAGATTAATTTACGCTGCAAAGTTTGCATAACACTGATAACTTAGTTAATCGGGAACCTAAACTCCAAGAACTGAAACTTTTCTAACATAAACCAAAAACTTTCTCTAAACAGACTGCCATATTGGGAAATGCATACTTTAGCCTCTCTTCTGTGTGCTGCTTGGACAGAATTTTGCTAGGCTCCCTTCCTACTGAAAAAGTATTAAAAATTTAAATGTTCTGGAAATAGGCATGAGAGTGCAAAGTTGAACTGTGGTCACAAATGTGAATTTAAATAAAAATGGAATTTAATCTTACTCGGCTGCCAAGTTTCTTCTTCAGTATGGATCTATGTTCTACGCCAAACAACACATTGCTACGTTTCTACGTCTGCGTTCCTACATCAGTACTTCTAAAATGTGCTTTCATTATATATATATATATGAGTTTGGTATATGACCAGCAACTGCAATTAAAAAAAGGTGGTACACGATCTGATATTATAACAAGCCCATAAACAAAATTTCAATGTTGTACGGCTAAATGTTATGCCAGACACATGCATTCATATATCTGCAAAATGCCCAGTGGTTTCCCTGCTAAGCAAGATTATAATTTTCAGAAAGTGGCAGAAAAAGGCAGGGTTGCCAGATTTAGCACGAAATCATTCATTTAGCAACAAAATTGGTGATATGTCATAGACAGAGTGAGAACATTCTACAATGCTTTCTTAGCAGTTTCTTTGGAAATATTTGTGAATTTCAGAGATTAATCTGGGAGCAATCGACCGAGTCGGGAGCTGTACTTTAGTGCTTTGTCAAGCTATCTTCACCATTACAGCCTGAAGGCTGTGTTGCTGATTGTCTCAGTGTGTTTATCATAGTTTTCGCCGACTGTAAACAAGTCTTTGGAACTCTCCTGTGTAATACTGGTGAATAAGTTGCGTTTTGATTCTTCACCAAGTATTATCGAAAGTAACTCCTAATTCACGAACCCATAGATCTCAACATTATATAAAAACACACAAATGTCACAAAAAAAAAAAAAGTCTCTTTTGAATCCTTTTCACAATCTGTTTTGGATGGTTTGGTTTAGCTGCTTATGGCAAAGAAGGACTATCTGCCTACGGGGAGGGATGTCTTCATGGAGGACTTTCTAAGGGAAACTGGCTCTTATATATGTTACACATCAGGAAAACCATGAAAATGCCCATGCAGCGAACTTGTTTGCGGAATTCAAAACTTGAGCCGAACTACCAGTGTTCAGCGACTTTACTGCTTAGCTGCTGGTGGGCCAATCTGCTTTGTACAAAAAAAAAAGTCCTTTCTGTCCATACGTCACAAAAACAAACTGTCAAAACAGATTTGAGAACAGTCAAAATGGACACTTCCATTAAAATATGATACCCAAAATTTTCCGTGATTACAATACTTCCTGTAATTTGAACAAGGAAGTAAAAAAAGGTTAAAAGCTTGGAATTTTAAGAAAAAAATTTCGATTTAAAAAAAAAGTTTACTCTGTTTATTACAACAGATAACATTTTTATAGAGTTTAAAAATCTTTAAACATGAATTAATTCTTACTTGCTGTGGAATGAATAGATATCCTCCATGTTTCCAAACAGGATGTCAGCCTTACCATAGAGAGAAGAAGGCACTAAATCTTTCATTGCACTATTGTTCATTTCTCGTTTATAACCCTGAAAAATTGCATGTCATTAGCTATATAATTTAGAATAAAAGTTTTAATGATATCTCTTGAAATAATTTTCAAGAAAATAATGATGATTTAAATTGCACAAGCAAATTTATACCTGCATTCATATTTATGAAGTACTTTTAGTACATAAAATAAAAATTAATAAGCTGGTTAGATTCAAGAAAATAATGATGATTTAAATTGCACAAGCAAATTTATACCTGCATTCATATTTATGAAGTACTTTTAGTACATAAAATAAAAATTTATAAGCTGGTTTAGATTAAATGACAAAGAATAATGATTCTCTAATTTATCTTCAAATTATGTAATTCTGGGTAATACACAATAAACAATGAATATAAATACAGTGAAATCTATAAAATATCTCATTTGTGGATATATTAAATAAAAGCTCTAAAACAAATAAGCTATTGAAAAGACAACAGAAACATTACAGGCTGTCATGCTTCATGCTTTTAGTTCTAAAGGTTACCTGAATTATGCTGTCTAGTTCTGTCACATACGCTTTCTCAGTCTCGATGAGCTCAGCCATAACATGACTAAGAAAAATATTATTCAGAAACATCACAAAGTGGGGAAGGAAAAAAGAGAGATTAATTGCTAAATAGATCCTATATTAGTTTTAAATGACATATATTTACAATATTTTTACTTTTATAATCCTTTCACATCTAAACAAAAAAATGAAATTTACAAATATTTTATCACAGTAAAATCAAAAAATAAAACTGCTTTAAATATGATTATTAATGATACAATTAATATAATTTCTATGACAATATTGATGTGATTTCAGTGCAATTTAAATAAAATGTGAAGTTTGGAAACACAGAAGATAAATTTGAAAACTGCTATTCAGTAGATAGACCATCATTTGCAAACTCTATAACATATATTAACTATTTATGTATATATACTATTTGCGTTAACATCTGTCATGACTGACAGCCTAAAATATATATACACATTTTAAGGGAATTCCAATAATTCTGTACTGAGCTATACAACATCTAGCATTAGAAACACCTTTAAATTAGAATACTTATGCAAATTTTCCTAATTACCAATTAAATATATTATAAACTAAATATATTAAAAATTATATCCATTAAAATTACTATTAAAACAAAAAAACTTATAAAAGAGTTTTTTGTTTTGCTTTTAAGTTATTCAGTTTGTTAAGCCATTACAAACTTGTTAAATTTGAAAGCTAAATTAAAGATGCTAAAAGGCAGCACATCATTTACAAGCTGCCTATTTGCAAACCATGCTGAAGGTTCCATGTTATGGCAATAAATGTGCATGATCACTAAATTTGTAAATATTACATCCATAGCAATGTAAGATAACATAGAGCAATATAAATAACAGTCCAAAACTTTTGGAAAGATTCCACTATAAACATTTTTTATTATCAAAAGTGGTCATATTTTAGTAATTAGTAATACTGATTATTATTCATCAAGTACATTGGGAGAGAATGAAATAATTTAGTCCTAAGAATTTATAAAAAGTGTAGATCAAATTAATTTTATACCTTTCCAAGCATTTTATTTTATTGAATATTTAAAGTTATATGACAAATATATGGTAGACTTTCCTAAAAGCTTTAATAATGAACAACTTTATTTCTTTATAGTTGTAACAATGATTTATAACACTAATTAAAACAAATTTACAGAGCTATATTTTACACCAAAGAACAAACATTATGCCCTTGATATGTTCCCCCCCCCCAGAATAGATGTTTAATTATATATAAAATGGAAGCTTTCAATATAAAAATAAATCAAGCAGAAAAGGAATACAAAATACTAAAGACAAAAGCATATAATTTTAAACAAATTTGCTTTCAAATAGTTATTCGTTGAATAGTAATTAACATGGACAGAAATGAATTGCATTCATTAGAAAAGTGTTGACTTAGAAAAGTTTACAATTTAAACTTTGTGTTGTAAGCTTTTAAGTACTAATCACTAATCACTTGAATTAATTTAAATTACTTTTTAAAAAATCAAGAAAGTATCAAGCAGAAGTGGTAGTTAGCTCATGTCTCTGAAGATCATTCACAAAAGTTTTAAAATACAAGAAACATTCTAAATTGCTAATGTTCAAGTAAAGTACTAGATAATGTAATTAAAGTCAAATTATTAAATAATGAGTCCCATTATAAAATACTTTTAAAAACAGAACACAGTTAAACAATTAGTTAAACAGATCAAGGCAAAGCAAGGACTGTTTGCCTAAGAGAAGGGAGTCTTTGTGGGTGATTTTTAATGAAAATTGGCTCCTGTTTATATTACACATGGGAAAATCACACAAACACAATGCAGTTGCCCATTCACTGGGATTTGAACTTGAATGGAACTACCAGCTGGAATTAAAACGCAACACACAAATGACAACATAAGAATTTCTAAAAATTTTATCAGCTCTAGATAATTTCTAGAAAATTTTAAAATCAGAAATTAATAATAATAAAAAAAAAAAAAGAACAACTCTAAAAGGGAAAAAAATCAGAATAAAATTTACTGCAGAACAAAATAGCAGTCTAAAGAAATAATAAATATGCATTCATTTTTCAATTTATTTTAAATTTTAAGTTTAAATATTGAAGACAGCATTTCATAAGAATGCAATAAGCCACATAATGGCAGTTGAATGGTATTCATATTTTGAGAAAAGCTCATTGTCTGTGAACAAGAGGATGGAAATAGAGGCAAGATGATTCTCATCCTGCCTCTGTGTCCATCATTTGTAAAGAGTAAAAAGATACTCATAGCTTTCAGATGACTATGTGACTTAAGATACTTAAAAGAATGTCTTGTAATGCCTATGAGGTGATGCTTTCAGAAAAATGGCAGGAAAAGAGCAGTCTATACCATGATAAGGCTCATGTCATACATCTACACTGATAGCAAAACATTTTTGTCCTCTTCCCTCCAATAATAATAATAAACACCACTGATCCTTCTGTCCCATATTCATCTAATCTTGCTTCTAGTGATTTTCTTCCTGCTTTACAGACTTAAAGCCACTTTAAAATTGATATATTACAAGGATACATTGACATTATAGATATTAAACAAAACACAAATGAGAGTGCTTTACTGTATTCTAAAACAAATACCATAAGTGAAAACTTTACTGTATACATGTCTCTCTATTTAGCTAAATACAACGAAAGAAGCCAGAAAATAAAAGTGACTCATGTGAAATTAGACAAAATAAGAATTCTCAGAGCCTGATATAAAATTTAATACCTTCTTTTATTTTGGAGTATTTCCTGACAGCTTCTTGGTGATGGTGATCTAGATTCGCTACTGCAGTCAGGAACTTGAAGTAAATTATTCTGCTCACACGGAGGATCACCAAAGCGCACTTCAATTTTAAACTGAAATAAGACAGTCATAATAAAAACAGGTATAAAAATTAGAAGGCAATGTTATTTATTGCACTTTACAAACTTATGAAAGTTTTGTTCTCTTTATATACTAACACAGCCAAATGACTTTCAGCAAGTCACCTGCATACTACATTATTCTGCGTACCAGCACTTTTTTCTCCCTAACCAGTTCTTTCCATTTAAAGTAAACTGGTTATTAAATAATATCTGAGATCTGACTTTGGTTACCAAGTAGCATTTAAAGTTGTAGTATGAATAAAATTATTCATTGCCACTAAAGAAAACAGGTTTCTTTTTCACCAACCTTAACTTTCCCCCGATTTCGATACAACATACTTATAACTATAAGATGAAAAATTGTTCTGCTTTTAATTATATTTTCTATCTCTTTCCCAATAACCTTTTACTCTTTTATTTTTTATATCAACAACTTACAAAGCTTTTATTTTACTTAAACTACCTAATCTTTTTTGCTACTTAAAATAATTAATCATTACATAAATGATTTTGAAGGGTTATTTTCCTTAATTAATGCTTTCAAAACACTATTCATAAAATTATATTAATATATCCTGAAACTTATAATTTATCCAAAAAACTAAATATATATAAAAAATTATACAAAGCTAAATATAGCTCCTAATTCTCTGAAAGGTAACTCCACTTCACAAGCTCCAATTCAAGTTAATAATATTCAATTTACCACAAACACTCAAAACATATATTTTATTAAAGGATAAAATCCAATTCTATGAAAATTATGTTTATAAATGCAAAAAAAATACAAAATTACTACACACATTTCAAGAGCAATTTCTCCTCCAATTTTTCTAGGAATAGAACGAAAAATCTTATAAGCAAATAAGACAATCATTAAGGCTGAATATGAGTTGTAGTAACTAATGGTTTTGAAAGAATAAAATTTTCTACATCCATAAATACATAAGGCATTTCTAAACAAATAAACATATTGTCGCATAGAAACCAATTATCGGGCATCTTGCCGTTGATGGGTTTCGAACGCGGTACTTTCAGGTTTCGAGTCCTGCGTCTTCTCTGCTAAGCTATGAGGAGCTCGGTTGAAAACAGCGATTTTCGCTACAATATAAAATAAAAACACTATTATTAATCCATATACATCCTTGATTCTAAAATAAGGGTGAAATACAACTTCATCTCTTCTTAATCCAGTAGAATTCCCTGAGCCAGTCTCGTGAAGAAATAATAAATGTAAAATTACAAAAAATAAAATTACAAATGGCAAAATAAAATGAAAAGCAAAAAACTGAGTTAAAGTAGGATTTCCTACCACAAACCTGCCCCAAACTCACTCTACTAATATTACCCCTACATAAGGTACAGCAGACAATAAATTTGTAATTACTGTAGCAGCCCAAAATGATATTTGCCCTCAAGGTAATACATATCCTAAAAAAGATGTAGCTATAGAAAGTACTAAAATTCTTACCCCTCTTAACCAAACCTTATCAAATTGATAAAATCCATAATATAATTGACCAATATGAATGCATATAAATATAAAAAATAATCTAGCCTCATTAGCATGAACTACACATATTATTCATTTATAATTTACTTCCTGAATTATATGAATAATTCTATAAAATGATAAATTTACATCTCCTATAAAATGTAATGATAAAAATAAACCTCTAACAGTCTAAATAAAAATACTCCTAATAATGAACCAAAATTCCAAAAATATCTAATTCTTGAAGGTGAAGGTAAATCAATTAAAGGCCTATTAACTACCTCTACTAACTTATCTCTTTTATCTAATGATAATAAAATATCTCATTCTTTAATCTATCAAATTAACCCTTTTATCAGGCATATTTCTTAAAATCCTTGCACTGCTACTTCAATTATTCCTCTCACTCATACTGCTAATACTATTACAGCTAACACCATTCTAACTATAAATAAATATAATACCTTTTTTTATACAATTTTAATCTCATTTCATCCCCAACCACTACAAATTCCATCTGATTCCAATAACCTTTATATAAATATAAATAAATTACAACTGATAACAATGCTATTCCTACATATTCAAAGCTTCCATTAGGACATCTAATCTAGCTATATAAGTAAATAAAACTATTACTGCAGTTAATATGACTAGTAAAAAAGCATATCTATACCAATATAACCCTATTACAAAATATACCATCACTGAATAAAATAAAGTCACCAGAATCATTCTTATTACAATAACTATTGACTGAGAAGAACAAATAAATAATAAAGTTAAAATTAATAATAATACTATCAAAATTTTATTCTTAATAATTTAAATAAAATATCTACTTTGGATGTAGAAAATTCTAATATTACCCTTATTAAAATCATCATGACTCTAAGAATCTTTAGAATATGTTGATGATGAAAAATCATTATTATAATACTTATAAGTTTAGAAATCCTTTTAATTTCATTATTTTCACTATTTTCTATTCTCAATCATTCCACTTCCTCAATATCTCTACTTATTATACTTTCATTAATAGTTAGAGCATCATTTTTAGGACTTAGTCTATTAGAATCTGATGTTCCCATAAATCTTCTATAAATACTTCAATTTGAACATTAACTTCTGATAAAATTAATCTTCCCTTTAATTTTACTTTTACCTTTCCTAAAAAACCTTATATTTTCCATTACAGTTTCTTCCTTTACTACACTATACATTATTACTAAACTTTTAGAAAATAAAGATAACATTTCTTCAAATAATTTATTTAATTTATATTTACTATCATTTAGAATAATCCTTTTATCTCTTATTGGATGTCTCCTTATTTTTATTTCCATCTCAAATTTTTGATTAATTCCACCTAAAATTTCACCTAACCTCATAATTGTTATTTTTACATTTTCCTTCTCAAACATATTTTCATTTTACGTTATATTTGAAACCACATTAATTTCAACTTTTTAAGTAAAATAAAGAGAAAACAACCAGAACGTCTCCAAGCAGGAATTTACCTTCTAATTTATACCATTACCTCCCTTTAATACTAGGAATCTTATATTATAAAAAATACTCTGAAATTCTACTTCTCTTACTCTAAATTTTAAAATTAACCTTCCCATAATCTTTATTTTAGCCTTTTTAGTCCTATATTTTCTCTTCCCCTACGGCTCTCGAAAGCCCACGTTGAAGCATAACTAGAAAGCTAAATAATTTTAGCCGCTGTACTTCTAAAATTTGGAGGATATGGATTAATCCATTTTATTCCTTTAATTTTCCAAAAACTAAATATATTCAGAGCTTGATTTATTAGAATCAGTTTAATAACAGCAACAGCTACAAGAATAAATTGTATCTGAAAAAAAGACATAAAATCTTTAATTGCTTATGTCTCTGTAGCACATATAGGTCTAGTTCTTGCAAGCCTAATAACATTTAATTATATTGGACTTACGGGAGCAATCATTATGATTATTGCTCATGGTTTATCTTCTTCAGCTCTTTTTTTTTTTTTTTTTCTTGTAAACTGAATCTATTCAAAATACCACTCTCGAAATATTATATCTTTTAAAGGATTAATTTCAATTTTTCCTAATCTCACTTTATGATGATTTTTATTTTTAGCTATCAATATTTCAGCTCCTCCAACTATTAATACTTTAAGGGAAATCTTTATTATATCTAGTCTTATCAACTGAACCCATATTGCTTTAATTATAATCTTCTTTGTTTCCATTACAACAACATTATTTTCAATTAATACATTCATTAATGGTTCTCATAATCTTTCAGAAATAGAATTCTCAGAAGAATCACACTCAAAACCTTTTTTAAGCTTATTCATTCATATTACCCCCTTAATTTTAATTCTTTTCAAAACAGAACTTATAAATCTTTATACTATTATCTTATTTAAAACACTGGTTTGTGGAACCAACAATCTAATTATCCCCCTTACTGCCATCTTCCTTAATTCCATTACCTTAATTTTTCTTCCTCTCTCTTTATATATATAGTAATTAACTCAATATTCATTTCCCTTTAAATCTCTCATTAACCTCTATTCCCTCCTTTTTATTTCCTGTTAATCTTCTATTCGACTGATTGTCATGTTTATTCTTAGATACAGTAAGTCTAATCTCTAGATTAATCTTAACCTTAAGAATATCTCACATCCCTAAAAAAGGAATTTAACCGTTTTTCCCTCCTACTCCTTCTATTTATATTTTCTATAATACTCATAATTTCAAGTGATAATTTAATTTTCATTCTTTTAGGTTGAGATGGACTAGGATTTTCATCTTATATTTTAGTAATTTAATATCAAAACTACCCCACAGCCGCATCAGGTTCAATTACTATCCTTTTTAACCGAATTGGGAATATTATAATTCTTATATCTATAGGTATAATACTTTCGTACTTAGATTGAAACTTCTCAATAAATAATGAATATTCATTATTTATTTTAATCTTCTTAATTATTGCAGCATGTTCAAAAAGAACCCAATTCCCATTTTCATGGATAAACATTAATTCATTTTCAGCTTGACTTCCTGAAGCAATAGCAGCTCCTACCCCAATTTCAGCTTTAGTTCATTCATCAACTCTAGTTACTGCAGGAATTTATTTACTGATCCGAGTTCTAAGCAACCCTCATCCAATATCCCTCATAATTATTATATCCATCTCCACAATTACTATTCTCATTGCCGGCTTTTCTGAAAACTGAGAACAAAATATAAAAACATTATTGCTCTTTCAACTCTTAGACAAATCGCTATAATACTCTTTGCTATCTCATTATTTTCTATTAATATTGCTTACTTTCATTTAATTTCCCATGCCTTGTTTAAATCAATAATATTCCTATGTGCAAGAATTATTATTCAATCATTATCATATCAAGATAAATGCCAACTAGGAATAGCTATATTTAATATCCTCTTAATACCCTGCATTTTAGGAATTTCTAACTTAACTCTCATAGGAATTCCATTCAAATCTGGGTTCTTTTCAAAAGATGCAATTATTGAAAATATGCTATCTTCTAAACTTTCCTCGACTCTTTCAATTTTAATAAACATATCTATTGGCTTAACAGCCTCCTATTCAATTCATAAATGTTTATTCTCTTTAAAACTTAACATAAAGTCTAATTAATCTGCCCTAACCAAATCTTTCTAATACCATTTTCCATAAAAATCTTTACAATCATAAATTTGTCTTTAGGAATTCTAATCGAATTGTCTTTATCATTCTTTAATTAAAAAATATATTAAATTAGGACCCCCCTTAATTTCATTATGATTTACCCATTCTATTTCTACTAATCCAACCAAACCTTTATTCCCAGCCATAAACACTTTCGCAAATAATGATAAATTTTGAAAAGAATCCTATGCACCAACTGAATTATTTTACCAATCTTACATCTCATTATCAATTCCAATTTTTCTTTCACTTTCATTTATTTCACTTATCTTTATTATCATAATAATCAATCCAATCATTTTAATAATTTATCTTTACAGCTTATAATAGAGCATTTTATTGAAGAAAAAAGGACTACATCTTCATTATGAAATAATGAAGTGATATTTCACTACTTTATCCATCACTTAAGTCGAAATTAAGCTGCTCCAAAGCTCCTCAATTTTTAGTAGCACTATCGCTTATAAGAAGTTAGCAGCCCCTTAACAAAACTAATCAAGGTATGAACATTTCATTGTAACTGATTGCAAATCAATTTCTAACCTTATACTTAATTTTCTCTCCATAATCCCTCACTACATCCTCACTAAATCTTCCACACAATCATCCATTTCCCCGATTCCCCCTGTAACCAGAAAAAAGGGAGAAACCTCCTCCTGATGGTGTGTCCTTCTATTTCATTAACAATGAAATCGCTTACAGCTTTATCTATTTGGCAGATCAGTGCACTAAGTTTAAGTCTTAGAAACAAGAACATCTATTCATTTTAATGATCCACAATAATATTCATATATTAATCCAACTAATAAAATCACAACAAACATATAAAACACTGTTACACCTATAACATCTTCTCTAATGAAAGGAACAGGTAATATTAATTAAATTTCCACATCAAAAATTAAAAATATAATTTCAATTAAAAAAAACGATAAGAAAAAATATATCCAGACTCCGACTTTATATCAAATCCACATTCATATGAAGATATAGTTTCTATATCTATTTTTACTTTGTAAGACATTAAAAGAAGAAAAAAAATAAACCAATATTAACAATACTAAAATTACTATTCCTACTAATACATATAAAAGTATTCTTCCTCTATTTAACTGGAAATCAAGTGTACTTATATAACTATTTTATGCTCCTCATCAATAAACAACCAAAAATTAAAATAATTAAACAACATCAACAAAATGTCAATATCAAGCAGCCGCTTCAAACCCAAAATAATATCTTCTAGAAAAATGTCCCTTACTGTTTGAACCCAAATTACAAATAGAAACAAAGTTCCAATAATTACATTAAATCCAGTAACTATATAAAATGTTTATCCATATACAGAACCACTAATTTTAAATCCAGCTATATAATATAATACTCAAAAGTTTGAAAGGATAAAAAATATAACATTAACATTCACGTAACAATCAATGATTTTCTTATTATTCCCCATTTTTCATTTAAAATAGATTGATGAGCTCAAGTTACTCTAATTCCAGAAGATAATACAGTCAAAAGTTGTTAATTCGGACACCCATAATCCAGAATCATCTATAATCCAGACCTCAAAGCTACAAACTTTCTGCGCATGCGTCGCGTTGACGCAAGACCTGTAGGGCTGCGAATATTACATGTGCAAAGGCCCAAAATACGTTTACGCATGCGTGTTTAACGTATAACGGACAGTATAAGCTAAGCTAAAATTATCTAATTCAGTTAATGTTGCAGATTGCATTGTTCCTTAATCTTCGAATTGGATCCGGCTTATTATTTTTTGCAGACTGTTAGAGCAATTTTATTAAAGTAAGCTTGAACTTTCGATTATGTCAAATAGAATTTCCGATATATGTTTACTAATATGTAAAGGATCTACAAAGCGAAAGTATGTTTCGAAGTCCATTAAACAGAAAGTGGAATTGCTGCAAAAAATGGATAAAGGCATATCCTTTGTTTATCTAACCATTCCGAAATCTGTTTATCAATTTCACGCTGCTCTGCGGCTGGGGTAATACTTACTGCTCTGCGGCGGGGGTAAAAAAAATACTTTTCTTACAATAAATAATAATATTCCTAATATTAATCCTCTTAATATTACTCTTGAATGATATACTTGAAATGTTCTTTCACAAATTACATCTCGTCATCATACTCTCGCTACCAACACCATTATTATTAATGCTGTAAATAATAATTCATGTTCACAAAATACAAACATTTGTACTATTCCAATAACTAGACATAATCTTCCAACTCTGGCTAATAACGGTCAAGGAGATATAGTTACTATATGATATCTATGAAAATACTTTATCAAAAGTTAATAATATTACAAAGCATACAATAACATTAAAATTCTAAATACAAAACCCTGAATTACAGATACACCAAACTCTAAACCAACAAAATTGTTTGTAATATTAATGTTGAAGCAAACCCTTCCCCCCCCCCAACACTTAGTCTTCTAATTATTAATAACAAACCTACAATTAAATAACCAGCTATTATATTAGCTGCCAATCAAATTGATAAGGTGAAAGGCTGAATTAAATTACTAATTCTTTCAATTAATACTATTAACAGATCTAAAAATAAAGGGCACCCTTCGGGAACTAAATGAGCAGCACTAATTTAAAAGTCTTTTTCTTCATCCTATTAAAAAAAAGTAATTCAAAATAATTTCTAATCCTATTGTAATTATCAGATGAGCTGTAAAAATAAAAACAAAAGGAAATAATCCAATTCTATTTCTTACAACTAAATATAAAAAAGTAATTACACAAATATATACAATCCGTCAATAATTCGGATAAGATACTTCACTAAAAATTTTATTTATTTCCCCAGAAAGAGCTATTCAAATTCTATTATACCCTCTTTTAATTATAAAATACTTTATAGGAAAATAGGTACTATTCGGTTTCGAGGGCCGTAAAAAAATTGCAGCGAAAATGTACGCGCAAAAGCGCCGAATCTAGCAAATGTGCCCATTTAACAGTGCGCCAAATCTAGCACACGTGCTAATTTCAGATTGCGTAAGTTCATATAGTTCTATATTTCTTAAGACGCCATTGAAATACTAGTTTAATTTTTAAATCCTTTCTTGATTTTAAATCTTTTTTTATATCCTATGGATTTTCATGGGCAATTTGGGAATTGCCCATGATGAAAAGTCGGCGAGAATGAATTACATCTATTCTTGACACAATTATTCGCACATTAGTATTATAAGGGATAGTTAATGAATTATCTACATTCAACAACCAAAACATTGGTTCATCTTCTTTTGATACTATGTAAGAATCAAAACTTTTAAAATCTAAATCACTATATTCATAAGACCAATATCACTGATGGCCAACTACCTTTATAGTTAACTACAGAGACTCAACCTCCTCTATTAAATACAATAATCGTAATGACAGAAAAGCAATTACAAATAAAAAAATTGCAGGAAGAGCCGTTCAAATTCTTTCTATCTCTTGCCCCTCAAATAAACCTAAATTATAATTCCTATTCACATGTGAACTTACTAAAATATATCCAACTAAAACTAGCCATTATAACTATGATCACTATTATTCCCCATATTACAACAGGATTAGTAGTATCCTATTATAATATGGATTATAACTATAATCATCGTAGTACGATCATATTTGTAATTATAGTAACTGTGATCAGAGTTATAATTATAGCTATTTTTTCACTGTCTGGATATATCAATCATATTACTAATAGTCATTTAAAAATAAATTATAATAAATTATCAACTTGAAATCGATAAAAATAAGAGAATAAATTATAATTTTATCAAAAATGAAACAAATTATAATTTTATTAAAAAGAGTATTATAAAAGCTGAGTGTCGTTTTACATGGTGTTAACATTTAAGTTTTTATCACAGTTGAAAATACCTTAGGCACAGTCTTAGTCTTTCTAACAATTTTTCTTCTACCCTCTGGTGACTTTCCAGAAGGAGCTTGCAATGAAGTTGGTATAGATGAAATTGGTTCTGGAATAACAGCCTGAACAGGACCTTTGTTTCTTGAAACGATGCGCTGAAGACTACACTGCCGCTTTTCACACATCATCTGAACATCTTCTATTCGTTTAAGTACCTTAAAAAATAATTTTTCATAGTTAGACATGATAACTTCATTTATGCAAAATTATACTTTCTTTACAGATGAAACATAAATTTGGCAACTTGAATTTTTATAATTAGGTAAAATTTAACCTTACATTACATTATATTTGAAGAAATGCTCCCTGCCTCTCTTCTCATCAAAAAGTAAAAATATTTTCATTTCTTTAAGAAATTAATATCAGTTTGAGTGGAATTTTGTCTTTTCCCAAAAAGTCAGTTAAATAATAAATAGCAGCTTATTCTGCTAGTTTAGTCAAAATAATAATAAAATTAGACTTCAAAAAATTAAGTATAAATAAATATTAAAAAATTATATGACTACAGGCATTATTTCCTTAACTGATCTTACACTTATACAACCAATTATTTCTTTTTTTTCAAAATAACGTAGAATTTTTTACAAAAATAGTTACAACATTATAGATAAGTCCTTTCACAGAAAAGACAACACTAGAGGTATGTCCTTCAGTGCAGTAAAATGTCCAATTAACAAAATGTTCCTGATGTTTTTAATAAGTTCTATACCTCTAAAATTTAAGGAAATTTTTGTATTTAATTTTATGGGGCCAACTAAAATTAATGATTACTGTTTTACCACAAAAAAAGCAAATTTTATTTTGCGATTTCTCTCTGAATCTGATCAAAATCTTCTTAAAATTGCTTAACAGGCAGTGGAAAGTGATCATTCATATTTTAACATCATCCTGAATCTTGCACATAAGGGTATGAAGCATTTTCAAAACTTTTGATATACAGGAACCACACAAAATGCTACATCTTATATTCACAGAACTTTTCATTGTAAATTCTTCAGCATAAATTGAAAAACTTTATTACTGGAATTGCACATTGAAAATCAATAGTTAAAGAAATAGTTCCTAAGCACTTTCTTTGAATACTATGTACATATAACATGAATGTGTATGTATGAGTGTTGTATTCATATTATATTCATACTTAATTAGTTTGTATTATCAATTTTTTTTGGGGGGGAGGGTGTGAAAAATAAAACATCTTGTCTTTTACTTATGCACTCTAACTTTATACATTAAAATACAAAATGTAATGTTAAACACTGTATTAATAGGTAGTTTTGAAATATGATATACTAAATGATACAGATTTTACCTAACTCTAAAACTATACAGTTGAATTCTGCAATAATCAATCCCCAGATATAATCAATGAACTTTTTGGTCTCATCCAATTTTGTACACTATTAATATAATTTTATAGTGCTATAGCCTTGTAAAGTATGAAATTGGATATAACAAACCATGCTCATATCTCTAATTGAAATTATTTTGTACTTTGCATATTTTCATGAAAAAATTACTAATCCTTAAATAACCCACATTTAATATCTCAGCATCTACATTCCATTTAAAATAGAAAACAACTTTACATTACTTTTCTGTTATCTTCACCCCATTATTTTCAATGTTCTAAACAAAGTTTCTGCAAGACAGAGGTGTACCTAATTCTAGGAGAATCAGGACAAAATGAGCATATTTAAGACACCATACTATGGTAATAGTAACCACTGAATCAAAGAACATGAATAAGTTCTCTGATTCCATTCAAATTTCTTGACTGAGCTGCCAGACAGAGTTCTAATGAAGGCTGATGCTATGATCAAAATTTCTTCTATTCAGGGAAAGAAAAAGCAATGAATCGTGAGCTTTGGGGTATACAGTCAGTTAAGGAATTAAAATTTGACCTTTATCAGTTTGTTTTATTACATTTTAAATGCTAAGTTACATTCCTTCAATAACAGTTTTGCATTCTTCAAATCTTCTGCAAGATAAGATTATTCATAAGATATTCTTTAGGAAGCTTACTGAATTTTTGCTTTAAAACTATGGATAAAATTTTACCTGTATCATGCCATCAGAAAATTAAAGATTACTTTTGTACTCAACAGTTAAGCAAAAGTTAAAAGTAAATTCACAGTATTTTTTCTTATAAGCCCAAAAGGCTATTAATTTTGTTTTGACATTTTGTGTTGATTCACTTTTCAAACTGTTGTCACCAAATATTACAGCCCTGTATTATATTTAAAGAAATTAAATAATGAAGAATCTGCATAAACGTATGTATGTTTCTTGCACTGTGATAAAACAACGATACCTAAAGCCATCAAATTTTCAATAACATATTCACTGCATATGGGCATCTGAAAGCCCTAATTTGGAATTTGAAATTTGTTTTAATATCTCTTTCATATTTGAGAATTTTTTATCATTACAGATCAAATCACATTGACATTAAATAATTTCTGATTAACAAACTCAATGATTTCAAAACGAGGAATGGCAATAACATATGGAAAAGAGAAAAAAAACATTATCTGCAGGGCACAAGTCTGTGCATCAGAAATTCTACAGATATGCTCATTTTTAAAATTAATTTGCGATATTGCTGTTGAATTGAATTTTATGGCTTGAGTGCAAAGAACTTGATATTTAATAAATGAAGGTAACACACAAAATGTTAAAAAAAAAAACACCCGTTTGGGCGTAGTGTAAAATCTGAAAGCTTTCAGACTTTTTTCCTTCGTTTTTAGTATTTTTTGTTCTTACAGATAAAATAATTATTCATAGTTATTAATGGATAATTTGTGGGAAGGATCTGTACACTGATATTTAGATTAAGCAACTTATCATGCAAACTGATACAAGTATACTGAAATTGGAAAACAACCACCAATAAATTTAACAACTGTGAATTAATTTCTAATAATTATTGTAATTGAATGTCAATATGATTTGTTAAAATAAAATTTATTATTCATTTCTTATGTTAGACGCAGGCAGCAATGTTGCTATTTTCTTCAAGTCATCATTCAATTTTAAAATTTTTTACATGTTTCTTTTATTCAATCAGATATAACAAACCAAACTTCTGGTCCCTTGAAGTTCACTATAGTGGAGTTCAGCTGTATTTAAAGAATCCTAAAATTGCTAGCATTTTTTAAAACATGCAATAATCTTGGTGGAGCAAGTGGAGGAATTTTTCCAAAAGTTTCTCAAATAATGCAAGCTTCCTCTAAATAATTACCAGATTTTAAAATTCATTTAGATTCATTTTAAAATATGTAAAAATCTGATGAGCTTCCTGTTTCATTGGGCAAATTTCAGCAGGAGTTAAGGTTAGAATGTCATAGTTGTTGTCACTAAAAGAGCCATCCATTTTCAACACATACAAATGAAGTACATATGCCACATCAAGATTTTAAAATTCTAGTTTTGCATTCAATAATAAATTAATAAAATATTCACCAAATGTCTAAATGAAACATTCAGTAAATATAATACATGTATCTATAAGAACTTATATTTTACATTAAATCAAATAGAAAGAGAAAAGAAAATCAAGAAAGTCCAATGATTCTATGATCGAAGTTCTGTGATTGATTAATGGCACATGTGAATAAAAAATAAAGCTAGAATAAGTAAAACATGATAATAAAAAATACAAGGTTTGAAAATTAGATAGCCATATTGCATATGAGACAAATCATGTAGCGCATGCACACACACATACACACACACATACACACACACACACCACACACACACAAAAAAAAAAAAAAAAAAAAAAAATGTCATTCAGATGAAGCAGCTAAAGGCTTGATTTGATAACATATTATTTGTATTTCCGTATTTTTTTTTTTTTTTTAAGTTTCTGAACATTTTAAAATTATGCTATTAAATATTATGATTTAATATTGTACAGTCAAAAGTCGTTAATCCGGACTCGTCGGGACTTCGGCGATTCCGGATTATCGATTTTTACGGATTATAGATCATCAATTTAAATCTGGTAAGATGGCATGCAGAAATTATAAAATTAAAAATATGAAACCGTAATTTATGAAATAATGAACAATTATGATCTAATAGTTATTATGATCTAATCAAAGGTATCAAAATTTGCAAAAAAAAAAAAAAAAAGCTTAATATTTATTTGTTTACTTTATTAAACATTTCTTTCAATGTAAGCTGTTTAAGTTGCTTTGTTTTTTATGTGATAATATATTCTCTTTAATTCTATAAACAGACATAATTTCTTGTTCAGTTACAAAGTTACGCTGCTCAAGTCTTATAATTGCTGTGTTGAGAATACCGACTAATTTGTCAATAGAAATTTTTTCGTTTTCAATAACCTCTGTCACTTTCTTCACTATCGGAAGCAAATTATAATGATGAGGAATTTGATTTAAATCATATCAAAGACAAAGTACATCGAGATGAAATACTACATTTAGTAAGGAATTATAAGCCAAATAAAATAAAAACATCTGTGCTGAACATAAGGATAGTGCTGACAGATCAACTTCCAATTCATTGCGCGCCGCGGCGTTAAAGATAAACAAAGTTTAGATAAACAAACGTTAAAGTTTAGATAAACAAAGGATATGCCTTTATCCATTTTTTTGCAGCAATTCCTCCTTTTGTTTAATAGACTTCGAAACATACTTTCGCTTTGTAGATCCTTTACATATTAATAAATATATATCAGAAATTCTATTTGACATAATCGAAATTTCAAGCTTACTTTTATAAAATTGCTCTAACAGTTTGCAAAAAATAATAAGCCGAATCCAATTCGAAGATTAAGGAACAACGCAATCTGCAACATTAACTGAATTAGATAATTTTAGCTTAGCTTATACCGTCCATTATACATTAAAAGCGCATTCGTAAACGTATTTTGCGCACGCGCACACACATATTCGCAGCCGTAAAGGTCTTACGCGCATGCGTCAATGCTACGCATGCGCAGCAAGTTTGTAGCTTTGAGGTCCGGATTATAGATCATTCCGGATTATGGGTGTCCGAATTAACGACTTTTGACTGTATAGCTAAATTCTGCAAGCAATATATAAATCATTATCATAAACATCAATAGTCAAAATTCTAAAAATTCATACATAAAGTCAAAAACCTTGCATGAAATTTGAATCTATGCATAAGAGATCACTAAGCATCACAGAAACAGACTAGAAATATTAAATACAAACCTGCTGAACAAGAGCTCTGGATTCAGGAGTAATTACCCCTTTAAATAATGAATGAATCTCCTTAGGGTCATTGAGGCGAAACTCATTTGAGCTTTCTAAAAAATATTCTATTTCACGTAAGGCAGCCTGAGCAAATGTTGGAGAGGAATATTTTTCTATTTGTTGACCAGCTAAAAGATTCACTCCTCTTGTACACCATTTATTTGCCTACATAAAACAATGCAAATTAAATAAATACAGCTCTTTTAATCAAAATAAAAGTTATTTTACATAACATTTGATATGCTTTAATAGCACAATTCCTGTGACACTCACTTCAGTTAACATTTACCAAATCATACAAACTTATCAAATTTAAATTATTTGATAAATCTTAATTACATGATGTATTTTAAATGATGTAATTACTATATCATCTATAAATTTACTCACCTTAAAATTTACAGCATAAAGACACAGAGTTTTGTGGAAAAGAACAGACATAATTAAACCTTTTTTACATTTCATAAACAAAAAATGAAAAATGGGAACTACAAGAAAGAATACTAAATTACTGATCATATGCTAAGCCTTTTCTTGTGGGTTATTGAGACAATTTTTAATGTATTAGAGTGATTTAATCACCTATTTTAACAAGAAGGAGCGAAAAAAAATCGGCTGGGTCTTATACTTCCTATTCCATATTAATGAGTCAATTTTCAACTTCCATAGTGTACTGAAATTTCTTGAGACACATTTAAGGTAGTGAACATGCAGGACAAATATATCCCAGCCTCCAGGAAAAGGTTAAAATGTAAGCTTACTGGAAATGTAATATTTTCTAATGAATAATTCGGTAATTTTTTCTGCACTTTATATGACAAAAAGAAAGACAAATGAAAGGGCAGTATCACTGCAGATGCTTTTGTGAAATATTGCAGGCTGCAATAAATCTAAATAATGTTTCAAATCTTCCTGAACAAATTTTAACTAATAATAATATATAAAGTTAAATATTTTAAAATAACTCAAATAATTCACATAGGTAAAGGTTTTGACTGCCTTCTTTAATGCAAAGAAATTGCTATACAACATACCTTGTTAGCCACACATATCTATCTAATAAACTGTCTGATAAATGTTAACTTAATGATGTCAAAAATAAAAGAAAATAAAAGTAATGATTAAATAATTAATTAATTAATACTTTAATAAAAAAAGTAACTGATTAAAATAGGATTAAAAAAATTCAGTATTTGCACCTTATTAAAAAAATACAAGCTTTTATCTGTCATATCCAGTACACTTATATTTAAAAATTATTTCTCTTGTGTTAGCTTAAAGAAAGTCTGACCAAAAAACATTTACCTAATATTATTCTTTTATATTCATTTTAGTTTTTGTCATTATGCATCCTTATTAATTTGTATGAAATATTAAAATACTGAAACTAGGAAATCATAAAATATTACTTTCTTGAGCTTTTTTAAAACATTGCTTTCAAAGATTAAAGCCAGTGAATGAAAAAGCATATTGTTGTTTTTTTCTCTTCTGACACCAGTTGTTACATTATTTTCTTCCTTCACGTTCATATGGGGTTCGTGTGGATTTGTAGTGAATAACGACGACATCTGATGAAGTATCGAAACACACTTTATTTAGCCAATATTAATCAGGACAGCTCCAAAACATGTTTTACAGTCGTTGATGAACTATTATAAACACGCTGACACGATCAGTGACACAGCCTTCAGGTTATCAGGCTATCGCGGTGAAGACAGCTTCACTGCAAAGCTCTTGACTCTGCTTGGTTGTTCTCGGAACTCCACGTACTCTCTAGACTCTCCATGCGATGCACTCGACAGGGTTCATAGCCACATTTTAGTTAAAAAAATAAGCACATATAAGCACTTTTCAAGCACATTTTAAGAAAAAAAATAAGCACCTGTCTAATTACATTATATACAACTGCATAACCTTAAAAATTAGACTTGTAATTTAAAATATGAGAAATGCAGTATTTATTAAGAGAGAATAAGCATTACCTCAACCATGGAAAATAATTACTTTATTTTTTAAATTTTAAATAACAGTTCAATTTACAGAACTAGTTTACAATGAGAGGAAAAAAAAAAACTATGCAGAACTAAACTATATTACAAGATTCAATGATGAAATTTCAGTTCAAAAAAAAAAAAAGAAAATAAATAATAATAAGGCATATTTATTGTATTCACTTGGAACCTAATAATAAATACAATTTATTTTTCCACTCATACTGATATTTAAATAATTTAAATCTAAATTCTGAACATTCTCTAAATTTTCATCGTATATTAGTTTTCCCTTAACAGATATTACAAGCAAAGTAATTTAAGTAAAAAAGAGGAACATTTCTGAAATCAGAAGACAGAAATTTGCTTCATGCAGTCATCCTTTAACAGTAAAAGCTTAACTAACCCACATACTTGGATATTGGCGAATATTCGGACAGTCGAGCGTAACTTGAAAAAGAGGAGCGGAGGTGAGGTAGACTGCAGCCACTCTTTAGATTTTTCCGCTAAATAAGTGCTTTTGACATTTCGATATGTGCACCATATGAAAATAAACCAATGGTACTGAAAAATTTTCTGCTTAGCAAGCACAATAAAACTCTTTTAGGTGTTCATAAACAAATCTCAGACAGAACATCAAAATTAATTATCTCTGCAAAATATCGCAAACGTTATTGCGCAATACGTGCGCCGTAATTCTTCCCTATGTGGTATTACGCAATCGGAATCAACAGCTGCCGGTATTGGAAGAATAAAGAAGTAAATAACTGGGGTGTGTTTCATTCTAATTTTCAACACACGGCGTTAAATTTACGGAATAGAATCATTTTTCGCTTGTGTTGGCAGACTGCAGAACTTTCAGTCCTATTCAATCCAGATTGGAAAGTGACAAAAAAAAAAAAAAAAAAAAAAAAAAAAAAAAAAAAGGTTCATTGCTTGTTTTGCAGCGAACTGTAACAGTTTCAATATTTGAGATTTTGCGGAGAAAGGGGAGAACCTCTCAATCTTCGTATTGTATAATGTATTGGCCAAAAAAATTAAATTATTTTGACTATTCGATTACTTTCCCTTTATTTAAGCCATTCCAAATATTATTCCTTAGAAAGCTAATCTGTGTTAAAACACAAAAATTTTTGGAAGTTAACTATACTTCAGCAGTTACTGCAATTATGTTATTATAAACATTCATACATATGCTCATAATATAAGCATAATGATCATAATAAACAAGAATATGAACTGACCAAGTGGAACGAGAATGCAAATTATTGAGATCTTGATAGAAATTCAAATGTGTGTAGTACTTGGGTGGGAGGAAAAGAATGACGAATGTACCGGAATTTTCTATTGCTTTCGCAATTCTTTGACCAATAGAACGACGGGCACCTGTCTGTACTCTTTGTGCACACCAAAGGTTATGTTAATGCAGAGAAAGGGGAAAAAGCTATTTCCAGGAGTATGATTGACCATCTGACATTCCACATTAGGAAGAAAAGTTGTTTATTTAGTTTCGGCTTTAGTACGGGGAAAAATACGCATTCATTAAAAAAAAAAGCACTAAAAAAAAGCAAAAAAAAGCACTAAACAAAAATAGGGCTTTAAAAAAAGAAAAAGTAGCACCTATAAGGGCCTTTATATTTTATTTTTAAATATATTTATTTTTTATTTTTAAATATAATAAAGGACATATAAGCACTTATAAGGACCGCTACGAACCCTGACTCGACGATACACAAGAGTATAGCTCTCGACTCAGCACAGTCTAAGACAAAACTCGATGATGCACTAAAAGACTCTCTCGATGCACTCGACGACCAACTCGGCGCTAGACTTCGAGATACTCGCTCAATGACTGACTATCAGCTCGCCAGATGAGGCACACACACACTAACTGACTGCAGACCAGCAGGGTTTATATAGCTTTTGGCTTGTGTTCAAGAACATTCTGGGCTAAACCGGTAAGAACTCGTTCCAGAAGGTTCTCCACCCTTCCATAGTATATCGCCAATTTTGTCGCCAAATGTGCGGTTTCTCGCCAAATATGGCAACAATGCCTTCCATTGCCATTTTACAGCAACCCTAAAACTATTTTGTGGGGAAGCCATCTCACCGCGCCTGTAAATTTTGCAACAATATTTCTTTGCCTTCATTAAAAAAAGCTACTTACATATATAAATCAAAAATTTCTCAAAAAAAGATATATTTTTATAAGAGAAAATTTTAATAGCTTATTTTTCAGTATGATATTTTGTGCCTTGATACACATTTCACATTGCTTAAGCAGCAAATCTATTCCCCAAAAAAGTAATCTGAAGATATTGTCTTTAATACATTAGATAAATGCTCTTTCACATCATCACTGACACGTTGCTGTTTTTTAATTGTTGAAATCATTTACAGTATCCATCTTGCAGTGACTTTGTTTGGGAAAAGACATTTGTGCAGAATGTGTAAAATAGTTGTTTTAGAGAGACAGGATTTTACTGATATCTCACTGACTTTTAATCTTATATTACTTGCTATTTCCTCATAGACACAAGCAACAATTTCTGAAGTCAGTGCCTCCAATGGCCAACCCTCATGAGAAACATTTCCTATGGATACTCCCCCCAAGTGAATTTATTTTGCTCATTCTTTCATGTACTATAGGAAGGAGACAAATCAGCATACACATAATCTAAGCATTGTTTTATTTCTTTAGGTTTAATACCTTTTTCATTGTTATTATAAATTTAATCACAGAACAATATTCGATTTTAAATATTTTAGAACAAACTAACACATTATTTCATTTAGTAAGAAGTCAAAAAAGAGAGCAAATGGTTTCTCTGATAAAACTTTCAAATGTATTCATTTAGTGATTACCACTACATGAATTTACTGTTAAATAATTTTTTATATGTGAGGCAGGCCAAAATGTCTTTGGAACTGCTATGTAAATTTAAATAATTATATAATAAAGAAAAATTAGTGGTTTTAAAGCCTGTTTTTCAATTATTAACTGCATTAACAAAGATTATACATAAAATTAATTAGGAGAATGCAAAATCCTTTTTTATGCTTTAATCAAAATTGCAAAAGTTAAAATGCAGAAATATCACATTCAATGACAAGTTTCAAAATTAGTTTCATACACTTTCAAAATCTGGTTGTTTTCTTTCAAAAATTCTATAATTTCAATTACATAACTTTGAACAATAAATATTCAAACAGTAAAAATCATGAAGTTAGGTATCACCAATAAGAGCATTTTTTCAGCCTGAAAAAGCAACAGAATATTTAAAAATAATAATACTTTTTCTATTCTTGCTTGAAGGTCTCTACTCTTCCTTAATATCTCTATACGAAAAGCTAGTTGCTGTCGAATATCAGCAGCAATCCTTTCAAGCTCAATACATTTTGGTGCAATGGAGTCTACAGCATAATGATTGGCAGCTATTAATTTTTCCCCATCTTGTTGTAGCTGATCAGCTTTATCCAAATCATCCTGTAACAAATATATCAGATATAATTATGAAAATATAGAAGCTAAAATGCTTTAAATTCCAATAGAATAGATCCAATAGAATAGATCAGCTTTAAATTCCAATAGAAAACTCACGAAAATGTGAGCATGTAAAGCAGCAACACCAAAAATTCACACAGAACGTTTTTACACCATCATGTTACATTTATTTTGCTCACTTAAAAAGCAAAAAAAGAAGGAAAATTTGAATCATTCCCAAGTATATTATTTCAAAATTAATATATTTTCAGTTATTATTAAAATATACACTAAAATAATTTATAAATAATTAAATAACTAATAAATTCAAACAACTTATTAATGAATTATTTATCTAAATGAGATATATGATTAGTAAAAGCTACTTCATTATTCGGGAAAACACTTCATAGTACTCTTCATTATAAAAATATATGTCACAAAAAGTATCTTAAAAATACTTACAGGCCAAGTTTCATCAAATGAAAAATTTAAATTACAGTAATATTTTTTCATTTAATTTTAGGTTTCAGCACAATATTCAGTTTGCAAACAAAGAATTAATTATTTGTTAAGACCTGCAAAACTGATTTTTAACTGTAGCAAAAAATGCATGGAATGTAAAACAAACTCTATTCAGTATTTCTAAAGTTCATATTCTCAGCTATAATGGATTTCAGATCAGGTCATTACAAAAAATGCAATAAATATCCAGCATTTAACTAACCAAAATAACTCTATTCTATTTATTTATTTATTTTACCAAAAATTAAGCAGAATGAGAAACCTTGTAAAGCCTTCATACAGAACATATCAACATATACAACTCAGAACAAGCAAAAGCTGTCATCATCCAGTTTGATTACTACCAATAATGAACAAACATGATGTCACAATACAATCATAAGGTCTTTACCTTGGTTTTAAGCAAACCTGATTAGCACTTGATAAGCCGTTTAAGTTTTTGTAAAGAGGGATATAAATAAGTTAACTAGTATTCATCAGTTTTCCTTTGCATTTTGAAAAAATAATGAAAAATTGATCAAAACTTGGACCAGTCCTAAATGGAACAGCATGCAGTAAAGTATTTACAAAATTTAAGGGATTCTGCATCAAGCAAAGTGTATGTTAATGGGAATGATATAGGACTTTATTTCAAAATGGATAAACAAGGGCCATACAGCACAAAAATTTATGACAAGCAATTTAAATTTTCTACATGCTAAATTTCCATAATTTCTATCTCTTGATTATCTAAAATAAAGACCAATAAGTTCTTTCAAACATTTGCTGGAACTCCTATTTAATATTTTTTTAACAAACACAGCATAGAATATTTCAGAATCAACTTACTTCAGTATCACTACGAAATCCTTCCAGAGCCGCAAGAAGTGAATCTACCTCTGAAACAGAATCACCTGTCTCTGGAATATCTGCTAATTCTCGAAGATTTCCAGAAAGAGTGACCTGTAACTAGAAAATTATCTATACTCAATTTATAATTCAAAACTATAAAAACTATACTATTAATTTTTCACTCAAAATTTATATTGAAAAGAATTAATAAAATACCAAACATGAGCAGCATTTTGCAAAAAAATATGAGCAATTAACTATACTCAATTTACAATTCAAAACTATAAAAAACTATACTATTAATTTTTCAGTCAAAATTTATATTGAAAAGAATTGGCAAAATAACAAACATGAGCAACATTTTCCTGATGCACTTTCTTACATCTAAACTTAGTTTTTTAGTAAAATTATATCTGTATCAAAAGTTATTAAGGACAATATTAAGAAATCTTTAACTGCCATGTGGCAATATAATGTGCACTGTATCAGAAAACTCTGAATCCTATGTTAATATCAAATGACAGAACAGTTTCACGAATTCAACTTTAAGATGCAGAGTGTTTAGAGTAAATCTGTATGCAGATCAGTTAAAATGAAGTAAGGTAACACTTCAAAAAATGATTAAAAAGTAAATTAGCTTTAAATTTATTGTAATTAATATTATTAAAAAACAACTTCTGAAAAATATTCAATACATTTAGGAGATAAATAAAAGAACTGTATTCAATATAAATGAGCTGTTAAATACTTGGATTTCTATGTCTAACAAAATAATTATTTTTAGTTAATCCAAAACATAAAAATTAAACAGAGCTAAAAATTTTTCTTTGATTTATTTTCAGTTTAATTTCTTGCACACTACCAGCCATTTTGCCCATGGATGTTACTAATTTTTAAGTAACAAATGTTCAGTGAATTTCAATATCAGGACAGGAAATAATAAACACAGTAACAAATAAATAACAAACTTTCATTCAATAGATTTAATTTAAGATCATTGCAATTTAGTTTGAAAATTCATTCATTAAAGAAGTCAAGCATTGCATAGAACAGCAAAACCTGCGTTTCAAATTTTCGTAATTCTAGAAAATGCTCCAGAACTCAGTGAAGCCCTCACAGCATTGCATCAATGTAGAGGTTTTATTCCTTTCACTGAACACCACTTCCTTTATGCAACCAATGGATTAAAGAATTATAAAAATATTCAAAGCCTATTATGTCAGACATATTTACTTCTTTGCAAATAAAGCACTGGATGAAGGAAAGTACCACACACTAATGGAATTTTGGAAGCAATTCAACATAAGACACTGAATAGAAATTATTAAACTCACATGGGAACAAATTTATTCATAAACAACAAATGCTTGCTAGCACCAGCTCTAGCCAGAAAGTGCCAAAAATTTTAAAGAATTTTCATTAATTGAAAATGAAGCCAAGAAAATCGTAAAAATTGCAAAAATAATAGGCACTGACAGATTTTCAGATAAGGAAGAAGGAGAAATCAAAGAATTAGTTGAGAAAGACATTTGGGAAATGAAAAATGAAGACCTGGATATCTTATTATACCAGCTGATGGTGAAAGCAGCAACAGTAAAGAAGATAAAGAGCATTTACTGTACAAGAAGTTAAATGAATTGTTAAAAAAGGCACGAGAATCATCTGATTTTGTAATAGACATAGACCCAAATAAAGAAAGCAGGGGACACTTTATGAGAGGTATTGAAAAACTTTGGACTCCTTATTGCAACCATTTAAAAGGTTGCATCAGATATTGTGCCAAGCAAAAATTCCCAGTTATTTAAAAAAAAAAAACTAACTGCATCTTGCATAATGATCCTATTTATTTAGTTATTTAGTAGTAACAGAAATCCTTTTAATTAGCATTTGTTTCATTTCCCCCTTTCAATTACAATAATATTTAGGTTTATATGAATTACATGTACTTTCTTGATCTGAACGATACCTAACCTATTTTTCCACATAGAAAGTTAACAATTCGAAATGTGATTTTGACGCACATGCAGAACTTAAATTCTGGCTCTGACACATGTTAATCTTTTAGATAAATTGTCTAGCTAGAGTGAACCAAAGCCCTAAATAAGAAAACTCCGGCATTTCTTTTATGTATTGGGCTAAAATTTCAGCAGAATTTTTTTTTTTTTTTTTTTTTTTGATTTCACAGATTTTATTTTAATGCTAAAATTAAATTAAAAATAGATACTAACTTCTGAATACATGCCTCTCGTTCCCTGGAAAACAAATCCTTCGATTGAGATTGAGACTTTTAAGAAGAAAAAAAAATGTTCCCATCACATGTCAAAGGGCTTATTTTGCAAAATTTGCAAACAATTTATGACAGAGGATAAACTTTTCATCCCAATGCTGGTGTCTTCCCATGGAATAGAGTACTAGCAAACCTTTTGGAACAACGTAACCATTTACAGAGGGAACAAATGGGCACTTTTTACTTTGTTTGAGCTAACACTTGGATTTGGGAAAACTTATTTCTCCTTCACATTCTGCTTGACAGCTAGAATTATACTGACAAAAGATCATGCTCAGGAAGTATTGCATGTTTCTCTCTTTGTTTTCATACTCATACATCCACTGTTAAAATTTCCACTATATTCTGTTATAGTTTATAGCATTCTCTCTATTCTCATTCGTGACATTTTAACTGTTTTTATTTGTGTGCTCGAAAAAGAATTGCCTTTGTTTTTCTATCATGCCTTGAAATAGTACATTATACTATATATTTAGAGCATAAATTCAACAGGAGACTTGTTGAGTTACATCTTAGTTTTTGAGGTGAATAGTAATTTCACAGCCCAAAATAATTAAAGGTCCAGTATTTTATTATTTAACCCTTTACCATCATTTAATAACTTATTTTTATTTATCTCTTTACATTTTATTGAATTCTAATATTAATTATTTAACTATGCCAATCATTAATTCTTTAATCATTTTAATTATTTAATTTTTTTAATAATTTTAAAATCTTTTTAGTAGTCATTTTATTTACTCATTTATTCTTTTCCTCTTTCCTAATGATTTTCCTTAAGGTCCTGGCACATCTAATTTTAGAAAAATTAAGCCCTGTGTACATGCATGACATAATCCCTGCATTCAGCAAGGATTTACTGTATAATGATTTTAATGAAGCCAGCTACTGTAATTTCAGGAGTACAACTAGTAATTAATAATAATTTCAATGAATTAGCATTTATTTCTTTTAAATTGCTTATTTTTTTAATAATTAAATTTCTTAGTTTTTTAATAATGAATCAATCTGAAAAAAAATTAAATATCTTATGCTTTGCTGAATGATGACACTGTAGCATGGAAGATAAAAACATTTTATTTTAGGCAATGGCAACATATTTCTTTTAAATGACTGAATTTGTTGATTAAATTCAAAAGACAAATTTATTGCCTTTTGCTTAGTGATAACACCCTGTTTTTAATATCACTGAGCTTTCTGATTAAACTTGAAACATAGATATCTTATGCTTTGCACAGCGGCAATATAAAGCTTAATAATGCCAAGTTTTTAATTAAAAGTTAATTATATTCACATAAAATATAAAATAATTAAAAAACAAATTCAAAATTTGGACTTTGAGAAGTACTTGTTCAGAAGTAGGATTATGTATGTTCAAAATTTGGTGACTTCAGGAGCTTTAAAGAACATTTATACATACAGCTTCTTCATTACATAATGATACAGATCATACACAAACTTATAATCAACCACACATTTAGATTTAAACAAGTTGGTATATCAGATTTAAAGAGCACAACTGTTATATCAGAAAAAAACTAAATTTATATACATTACAACTTCAAGTTTATGCTAAACTAACTGACTAAATGCCAGACAAAAATAAAGTACTTAAGAAGTTAAAACTCTTATAATGTGAAGAGGATTTGGGTGATTGATCTAACCAAATCAAATCAATAATTACATAAATTTAAAAGCAAGTAAATTAATTCAGAATCAAAATTCAAAGTTATTAATTCTATATCTCTCTTAAAAATACCATTACTTCAAATAACCATAATTTACATACTCCCTAGAGATAGCCATAAATTCAGTGCATTAATACACAACCTCACAAACACCAGGGAAGAAATATTCAAACATATCAATCAATCAATTCCCCTTAATATTAATATATGAATAAATTCAATTAAAGTTCAATTACTATATTGGCATTCTTTAATAATTTGAATTTCTCATAAATCATTTCAATAAGTGGCTAATGCTAAGATTTTTGTGATGTATAATGTATTTGCGATGTATTATTTGCTTGGGCTTTTTATAAATAAGCCCAAGCAAGCAGAACTCCACGTTTCCAAGAACCTTCTGGTCAAACAAATGGACAGACTAAGCTAGACCACAAATTAATAACAAAACATACAAGATTTAATAAAACTCATTTATGAAATTTTAGATTAAATAAACACTAAGAAAGGAATAGCTAAATCTAGGTCTCTACTACACTTTTTCTCTTAAATGCCTAAACAACACACATTTTAAATCGCTAATTAAAAATAATTCACATTCTGAATAATGAACAATTTATCATTTTGCCCTAAAAGCAACTTCACTATAATTACCTATTCTTCATTACAAATCTAAATATCACAAATCATTAATTTTTTGTTACTGTACGACAATGTAATTAACAGAATTATTATTTCCATAGATACTTAAATCATTTTTAAGTGCAAGAAGTTTATGAACACATAATGATATAAACAACTGTAGAATATTTTTGCATTCTATGGGTTTGTGGATTTGAAATGATTGATGACAACACTTAATAAATAATCAAAACACAATTTATTCACTAATATTACACAGGACAGTTCCAAAGATGTGTTACAGTCATTGAAAAACTATGAAAAACACACTGAAACTATCAGCAACACAGCCTTCAGGTTATCAGGCTATAATAGTGAAGACAGCTTCATGGCAAAGCACTAAATTACAGCTCCTGACTCAATCGATCACTCTCAAGCTAATCTCTGAACTCGAAACACTACTACTGAACTCAACATATTCTCTACTCTGCGTACAGATATAGTATATATAGCTTTTGACCTGCCTTTGAGAACATTCCGGGGAAAAACGGCAAGAATTCATTCTAGAATGTTCTTGCTCTGTCTATGGTATATTGCCAATTTTATTGCCAAATGGGTGATTTCACCCCAAACCTGGCAACCCTACCTTTTCCAGCCACTTTCTGGCTACCCTAACCCTGCTTCGCAGGAAAGCTATCTTACAGCTGGGCATTTTGTAACAATACCAATTCATGGTAAGGGAGTATTCCAGAAAAAAATTCTCTCCCTGTTAAGAGCTAATATGCAAGTAAAACAAGTTAATTTTTTCTTCGTCAAGTGCACACAACAATTTGTTTAACTTAATTTTTGCTGAATCTGTCTCATTCTATTTTTGCATACAAGGAGGTCCAACTTATCATGAATTTTGGAACACAAGAACTTCAGCCACTGATTTAAATTGATATAGGAATAATGTGCACAGAAGAGGGGTTACGAATTCAAGATCTTCCATGCCCTCAACAACCGCTGTCTAAATGCTCTTCTGTTGGATATAAAAATGATAGCAGATAGAATCTTTATATTTCTTAGTCAGAAGATAAAGCATAAAAACCTTATTTTCAAAGCACATAACCCAGTGGTTTCCAACCTTTTCTTGCCAGATGTACCCCTTTCATTATTGTTAGAACATCACTCCCTTGCTTTTCCAAAATTTGAAAAATATATGTACAATTATTTAGATTTAGATAATTTTTAACAGCACAGCAGGAAGCAGGCCAAGTCAAGCTGATTACATTCCCCCCTGGAAATCTATGAAATTCCCCTAGTTAAGAACTACTGATATAACCCATTAAAAACCTTAGTCAAAAAATGAAGCAGAAGAATTTTCTAAAGACACTCAATTCCGAGGCAATCTTGCTGAGTAAGCTGGACTCACTGGACCATGCATCAGAATGGCTAAAGAGAAGAGGCAAACTTCGCACAAAGCAGCACCTTATTTAGGGAAAAAACAAAGGGATCCAGCCTGCTTGTGTGGAAATAAGGAAGGGGCAATCAAGCCCACAATGGGCAATATTGCCCCTTCCTTATTTAATTTAATTTTTAACCCACTGGCACTCAAATCCAATCTCAACCAAATTCTATTCCTGTAAAATCCTTCGAGGAAATCTCAGTTACCACACACATCAAATCATCATAGGCTAAAAGTAAACATAAAATTAAGTTCTGATCAGTTATACAAGATAAACTGACTCCATTTCTTGCTATTCCCCCCAAACAAACCAAAACACAACTGATGTCAACAGCTTGATATCAAAACTCCCACTGATGAGTCACCAAACACATTAGAACAAAATTCAACTCTTTACCTTTCAAAGTGGAATATCTCACTCTCCATATTTCAATTATCAGCTTAACAAAGCTCATCAATTCGCCATCTGATCACTAATCACTACTTGATTCTGTATTCACAAAAGCTCAAGAAGTGCAATTTATTTTTTCACACTGAAACTTTCCCATTCCAAACACAAAAGAAAAGTGATAAGATAACCTTTTAAACTGCTCGTCTCATTTAACTCCTATTCACAACACACTAAAAATTTTTGTTTAAGGAAAACTGAGCAAGTATTCAACTCTTGTTTTCTGTCCAGATGTTCAGAAAAACACTCTGTCTTCATGAGAAAACTAATATTAAGCACTGAAAATAATATAATGAAAACTTTTAAACGGTCCTTTGCTAATCTAGTTCAAACCATTTCATCTCTACATATAATAAAACAAAGAGTCTGTCTGTATGTGTCTGTCTTTTGTTTGCGTTGCGCGTAAACTAATAGACCCACGGCTATGAAATTTGGTACATAGGTGCATCTAGACAAGAGCCAGTGCACCTTGAAGCGATTTTTTCCAAATTCGAATTAGAATGTTTTTTATTTTATGTTTTGTGATGAAATTGCGTCATTTTGAGATATAATGGGCTATAGGAAAGCGAGATTTTACTCTACACACTCTATTTTCACATCGTCATGAAACATAGGCACTTAGCTATTTTACGAACTTAAAATAAATTTCGTGTTTCAATAAATCGATTAAACACAAATTTATTTAACAAAGTGAGCTTAACACCTTTTCAACAGGATTTTTTCTAAAAAAGTTTATGTTTAAAAATGTAGTTTACATTTCTTTGATTTCTGGACATGTTAAATTTTTATCCTTGCGACTTGCCTTTACCAGAAGAATTTTGGAAAAATGATAATATTTTGTATTTTTAAGAAATTTTTTAAATGAAGCTTCCAAGTACACTTTCTCACATCTCACATCTTTAAAAATGTGATTTTGGCAACAATTTTTCTTTCTTATTGTTGTTGATAGATTTTTGATGAAAGTGCATCATTTTGAATAGTTTCATTCTTTTAGAAATATGGGTTTGGCAAAAATTTTTCATTTGTTCTGCAGAGCAAAATTCTTTGAGGAATTTTTTGTTTTTTGAGGTTCTTTCCTTTCATGTTATTTTTGCTTATTTCACTATTTGTAAGATATTGAAAAGTTGTGCATGATTTTTTTTTTCTTCAATGGAAAGTTAGTTAATTTTTTATTAGGATAATTAATATTTGCATTAAGGGATATAGCTTATTTCATTGTAATTTTTTTCTCTTGAAAATATAAGATAAAATATCATTAATTATACTTTGATTTTCAAGATTTTTTTTTTTTTTTTTTTTTTTTTTTTTTTTTGTATTCTTTTATGTTATTTATTACTCATTTCACTGTCTTTAAGATATTGAAAAGTTTTGAGTGATTTTTTTAGGAAACAAAATTCTTAACCTCCTTTATACCATTTGAGTTCTTAAGATTTTGCAAAGGGAAGTTGGTTAATTTATTTATTAGGATAATTAATATTTGTATTAAGGGATATTGCTTATTTCATTGTAATTTTGTTATACGTAATAACTTTTTTTTATGAAGTTGTTCTGCAGAGTAAAATTCTAAGCAGTTTTTAAATTTAACGTTTAGTGTTCCCTTCAACCATTTTTCCGGTACATTTAAAAGCCAAACGAAGGCTGGCAGCGAGGCTGCTAGTTTAAAATAAAATCCTCCACCCTCTAAGCATTATGGACGTAAAATTTTGTATAGAAGGAGGGTTTTCCAATTCATTCACACTTGAAAATTTTTTGCCAGATTCTAACGCATCCGATTTCAGGTTGGATGTATATTGAAAGTAAAGGAGTCAAGGTACAAAATTGAAGGATCCTTTTTAAATTATAATAAAGAAAATAATATTTATTCATGACATATTGGGAAACTTGTAAATTTCAGAAAAATAGCTAAAATCCTGAGAGAGTTAATAATTACTGATTTAAATTTTTGACACAACACAATTACATAATAAGTAAAAGTATTACCTCTTTGAATTCTTGTTCAAATTTTCTAAGTTCAAGGCACTGACTGAGCCGCTTTTCATGCTGTGACCAAAAGGAATCAAACCCTTTTTCTGTCTCATCAAGTTGCAACAGCAATCTAGCAAAAAGTAAGTATGCCATCATGCTCAAATATAGAATTATGCATTTGTTTAGATGTTTTAAAAGCATTTGAGAAATGAAATTTCATATAAAGATGTTTTTAACATATTACACTACAACAAAGAAAGCAGCCTATTGGCACTAATTTGCATAACAGATTGAGCATGGTATGACATGATAATGATAGCAATATAACACAGATGCAAATAAAAAGTGCACCCACTCAAAGAAAGAAGAAAAAGAAAAAAAAAAAAAAAGACGGTTGTATATCTCCTGCTCCTGCATTTTTCATGTCTCGAAAGCAAGAGTTAGGATATATATTAGATTTATATAGAGCATCATTCTAACATAGATATTTTGACCCAAAATTGGACTTTTCCTGAAATAATATACCAATTTTTTCTCCATATTTCGATATTCCACACCTCAGATTAGGCCAAGGCGCCAAGTTTTTTAAACATCACAGTTTTTAAAAACTTAGCTCCTAAATTTTCAGCTCTTCAGTATTTATTGAACTTGGAATACATTTATTGTTATATCTTAATATTAAACTTACTTGATTCCTTTTTTCGCAATTCAGAATTTACATTCAACCCAAATAAAATTCACACTTTTTTTAAATTTATATTTTAAATTCGTAATTTTTTATACAATTTTTTTTAAAAAAAAATTGAATTATAAACTATAAAAATTGGTTATAGAATTATAACCTCTAAAAATTTTACTGTGATTTTAATACATATTTGTATGTGTACCTGCAAAAAAATAGAGTTTTATTCAAAATCTTAGAACATATAAATTAATATATTCACATTTTCAAGATTTTTAAAATTTGCCACCTTTGTTTTAAGCAATAATAACACCAAATTTGGTTCATAGATTTTGCTACATTCTTCAATGAATTGCCACAGTCATTTTTAACCTTAAATTTCCAAATTCTTACAGAGCATTAATCATATAGAATTTTTCTCAATTTTATTAATAATGCATAATTAAATATTTATTAATATTATACGAAAAGCTATATTTGAATTTAAAAGAATATTAATATTAAAGTTTTTTTATCTTTTTAAAAGTAAATTTTTACCTTCAGCATATTACTGTCTGCTACTTTACCTAATTTTATTTTTTATGTAAAGAAAAATTCATTTGCAGATTTGATATATTCATACACTAAAAATATTATTAATGAAACATGCTGTCTTCTAATACATAAATGTTTAAAAGCCCCAAATTTACTAGAACATAAGGTTTTTATCTTTTTTTCCGTGTACAGCAAAGGTAGCAAATAAAAATGATTCTGACGATGTTTTATGTCCAAAGATATTTCATGACATTTACTATATAGTAAATTTTTAAACTGTTACTTTAATTTGAAAGGGTCACTTATATTATCATAAAGAACTTTTTCTTAAAGCAAAATATATTTTGCGTCAACATGAAATTTAGAATAATCACATTTTTAGAAGCCAGACTGTGATTTGTCAAGATCTGAAACCTACTCATTAGTAATATAATAAAAGATGATTATTGCTACATTATTATTATTATTTCTGTTTCATTTACTATTATATTAAAATTTAATAAAATTCATCTTGTAAAATACTTTCAAACATTTAAAAAGTTGCCCTTCTCTGTGGACATAATCCTAATTTTATACCAATCAAAGATTTAACATCTGCATTTCTGTTTCCATCAACTCCACTAAAAAGTAAAAATTAAGTGAATTAACTAACAAATGACAATCTAAGTAAAAAAAAAAAAAAAAAAGAGTATTGACAATTCAACTATTGGCACTCAATTTATACTATTCTTTCCATCCCTTCCATACAATGGAACAATGATAAAACTGCATAAAGCAATGAAGGCTAAATTAAAATGTCAGTTATACATCTTTCTCATTTATATACCTTACTTAAGTGGCACATTAAAAGATGTATTAACTGTGCTTCACTGTATATTCTCTTTCAATAAATGCAGTTTTCAGATACATCGTAGTTTGGGTCACAAAGTATTATTTTCAAAGAAATACAATTCAAATAAATAAAATCAAATTCTTGAAAATTTGTATAAATAAATGTACTTAAATACATAGTTCGAATGAATACATAGAAAACAATGCATCTTTTTTTTTAACTCATACACAATGAGAAGGAAAGTACCAGAAATTACAAATTTCGTCATGTGAATTATTATTGGTGCAACTGAAAAAAGTGCACCAAGATAAATTTTTGAATTTCTCCATAAGTTTCACCCTAAATTCTACGGAATTTTCTATTTAGATGGTTTAAATGCTGCTATGAATGCTTGAATTTAATCCAAAATGCTATTGTGTTTTGAATTATAAAAAATCATAAATTATTGCTTTAACTTTGCAGATTAAAAATAAATTTAATTGTCAAATCAAAATTTCTACACTATTTGTTAAGATGTAAAAATGATTATCCTCATAATCTCAGATACGCAGACAAAAAGGAAAGTCAATGAAAGCTAATCACCATCAATATATGAATTAATAAAATCTAACCTTTGTACAGCTGCTGCATTAATGAACCTATCGGAGCTTTTCATGTATGCAACACTTTGTACTGCAGGTCTTCTAATACAACTAAGCAGTGTTTCTCCATGCATGGCTGCATTCCGTATGTCCTCCTTCAAATTCTGATATTCACCTCCCTGATCTTCCAGAAGAGATAAGGTAGATTGAACATCATTCGGAAACTCGGTTTCCTGCAATCTTCGAGTCATTTCTCGCAGAGAAGAAGATATTTCTTGAAGATTACTCGTAAAATTCTCAACAGCCTGTGGCATAAAATATATTATAAACAATCTATTTTAGACCAAAAAAAAAAAAAAAAAGCCAATTCATAAGCCAGTTTAAAAAACACTAAAAATTCTTAAATATTTACATATTAGTTTAGCAATCTGAAGACATGTATGTCATATGTATCTTTTGCATATGAAATGAAGCTACTAAATTTTAATAAGGGGGGGGTAAAAAATTCTTCCTATCATCATACTTAAAAGAAAAAACCAATTTAACTTTTAAAATTTAATACATAAATAAGTTTTGCTAATTTTAAGATGTAAAATTAAATTAAAATAAGGAAAATGCATCATCTAATATTTAACTTATAATGATAAATAACTAATAAAATTACCACTCTTTGTTGAATCCATTCTTCATGGTTATAAGGTATGGTACCCCCTAAATCAACAGTTAATTGGCTGGGATCAATGTGATGATGTATATCTTCAACACTGCCACAAATCACAAGCTATAATTAAAAAAATAAATCTCTTAAATAAATATATGATAATATAAACAATTATAAACAAAGTCCCAAAGAATTTTAACAGTAGCATCTTTTAAGTGCATTTCAAAACATATTTGTCAAGTGGTTTACCTTGTAAAGTACAGTAGTGCTTCTCTGTTTGCAATTCAGTTATCTGCAGTTTTCAGCAGTGAAACCACCCAAAAAAATTAACATGTAAATTTTGAAATTTATAATATGGTACAATGATCCATAACACAGTTTAAACTTATCTAGTATATCTTGACATCAAACTGGGTGCACACACACTTAAATTTCAATCAGTATAAATAAACAGAGGGAATGGAAATATTCATTATGGAACTTCATGCATATTCTCAACCAATAAGGAGCAGCTTATATTCAAATGCTTTTTAACTCTCATTCTGACTCATGACCATAAATACATCAGCAGGGGATTATAGCTATCAATGATCAGGGAGTATGTGATTTTTCTTTCTTTATTTCCAGACCTAAACTTCTCTATTAAATTTCATTCACTCTTCTTCTAACATTTCTCCTATTCTCAACAGTACAGACTATACAGAATATGGATACTCAAAAAAGTATTGATGCAAAAATTCCCTCAAGCAAATGCATAGCTTCCAATCTCAAAACATGAAAAACTGGAAAGTTCTCATGTAAAAACCAGGAGTTTCTGGAAGTTTCAGTGTGGCATAGCAATGACATTTAAAAGAATTCCAAACTGACTTACATTCACTTTATTATGCATGACTCAGGTTACTAAACTATTTATAATATGATTCTGATTATAATACATATTAATATTTAACAGATGTTTTCAATTTTATCTTCGTTTGCTAATTTCATTTTGCAAATTTTTTTATACTTTTATACTGAGAAAATCCTGAGTAGAGAAGGAAAACTTATTTGCCAAAGTATTTTTTACATACAAAGAAAATAATTTTAACTATTAACGTACATACTATTGAATGGATAAATTTAATAATGCATCATGTACTGATGTAAAAAAAATCAAATACAAATATTAATTAATTAAACATTGCTTGAATTTTAAAACATTTTACAAATATCTACAGAACATTAAGGCAATTCAGGTCAATTTATTAAGGAAAATTATGCTGAAAATTATTAGTGGTGAGAAATGGAAATTACACAGTTTAAGTTTCAGCAATCCAATACAATTCATTTATTGCTGGGAAACATTTTTGTTAGTTTAAAACTTGGACAAATCAGTGATCTACTAGGAGACTGGGAGACATGATGATAGACCAGCAGAATTGGCAGTTATGCAGCTAATAGTAAGGAAAGAGGATTATGAAACCCTCATTTTTATTTCTCTTAAGATGATCTCAGTTAAAAATAAGACAGCTGTTGTGTGCTTTGCCTACATTAAATAATGCACTTTTTAAAAAGTTTCACATAAGGAACAATTAATAACTATCAGAAAAGGAATAAAAAGTACTTTTACTTGCTATGAAAAGTTAATAAGGGATAACAAAAAAGAGAGAAAGAGAGGGTCTTTTTTTACTTGGAAGAGTTTTTTAGTCATCTAAAATCTTTTTTAATACAAGCGCATCAACTAGTTTCATAATTATGATATGAATATATTTATGATATAGACATAATATAGTGTTACGAAATCTACAGGCGCAGTAAGGTGGCTTGCCCACAAAGCAGTTTTAGGGTTGCCATAAATGGCAAGGGAAGGAAGGAAGGGTTGCCACAGTTGGCAAGAAATCGCCCAATTGGTGACAAAATTGGTGATATACCACGGACGGATGGAGAATCTTCTGGAACGGTTTACCGGTTTAGTCTTACCGGTTTAGCCCAGAATGTTCTCAAACACAAGCAGAACCCTGCTGGTCCGCAGTCAGTTAGTGTGTGTGCCTCGTCTAGCGAGCTGATAGTCAGTCATTGAGCGAGTGTCTCGAAGTCTAGTGCCGAGTTGGTCGTCAAGAGCATCGAGAGAGTCTTTTAGTGCATCATTGAGTTTTGTCTTAGACTGTGCTGAGTCGAGAGCTATACTCTTGTGTATCGTCGAGTGCATCGCTTGGAGAGTCTAGAGCCATGTTTCCTAACGTGGGAACCATGCCCCACAAGGGGGCAATGTGACTGTTAAGGGAGGCAATTCGAAAATGGACTCCTGCAGAGTTTAAGGGGACAAAGGACTTTCTAAATGTGTTTCATGAAGTCAAAATTTTTCGAAATTTCATTTTTTATTCCCCAAAATAAAGAAAAAAAAAAGTATACGTAAAAAAAGTTTTTAAATTGTGGTGCATTTTAAATATTTTATAAAGAATTCTTGCTGTAGACATGGACATTTAAATTCTTTTAAAGACATTTAAATAACTGACACATTATGCTTTCCAGACGTTTTTCGCACATTTCAGTCAACAAATTTACTTTATTTTTTACTGTAGGAATGGCAACCGGTTTAATTCTTTCCTTGAATGGCAACAGTAGCTGCTTTCAGCTTTGTTTATATTGATCTTATATTTATTTCTTTCAGCCCTTAGTGAAATGAGGGGTGCAAGCAAGAAAAAACGTTTGTCAGTATTCGGAGGCATATTAAAATTGATTTCATATCCGTCCATAAACCGTCAACTTTGTCCTTTTCCATAACGCCTGCTTAACAAATCAATGAAACTAGGTCATCTGAGGCACATTTGAAGGCGAAACATAATGCTAATATTAATTCAGATTTGAATATTTCATACTTAAGGAAAATTTTTGAAAAAAGAGTAATATTAAAGTGTCTGTTTACTGCTCATAATGCAACTGTTAACTGTGCTCTTGAGGCTATTTATCAAATTTCATTACTCATCGCTTAATCTGGGAAAGCTGTACTATATTGAATTGAATCAAGCCAACAGTATCAGCATTTAAACCTGTTCTAGAAAATGATGACAAAGACGTTAAAGCTATGCCACTAAATAACCATACTATTTGCAGAAGAAAGATTAAATGAGTGAGTATATTGAAATACAACTTGTTGAAAAGCTGAAAACAAGAAAAGTTTCTTCGGTGCAAGTGGATGAACCAACTTTGAGAGACAGTGAGGCCGTACTTGTAACTTGTGTAAGATATTCATAAAGGGGATTTGCCGAAGAAATGTTCTGTAATCATTAGAAAGCACCACTACCTCCAAGAGATTTATAGTAAGCTAAATTATAATACATCTTGTACTGCAGATGGTGCTCGTAATATGATAGTGAAAAATAAGTAAAGAACGATAGAAAAAAAGGTTGCTTAAAATGATAAAAGATGAGAATCCGAAATGCTTCTTGTGCATGGTGTTATTCGTAGAGAAAACCTGGTAGCTAAAAACAATTCGCCTGTTCTAAATGAAGTACTAAATTTAGTTTAAAGGTATCAATGCTATTAAAGCTAGGGCCAAATGAACGTCTTTCAAGGTTATTTTTATGAAGACAAAATGAAGACTATATGAGACTTGTACTTCACACTGGAGTAAGAAGGCTGTCGAAGGGAACTGCTTTGAAAGATTTATGGAACTATTTGATACTCTTAGTTATTTTTAAGCGACAAACCTGAAATGAAAAATCCGTTAACGGATGATAACAAGGCAATTGTGAGTTATTTAGCTGATACCTTTGAAAAATTAAATATATTAAATAAACAACTTCAAGGAGCAAATAAAACTTATGATGCAAAAGGAAGATATTTGGTTTCATTATCTTTGTTGAATTTTATCAGCCATATACTATTTACCACAAAAAGTTTGAAAAATCTCATTGGTTTCAAAAATGTGACGCGACTACCACTATACTTGTTATTGTCGATCATCTGAAAATTTTATCGGCTGATTTAAAAGATTCTGTAACTTAAAACAAATTGATTTTCTAACTTGGATGATGCAGCCAATGCTAGTGGATTTGGCTGACATTTCAAATATGCAGTAAAAAGAACGACTCGCTGAAATGCAAAATGAGGAGTCAATTAAAACTTTATTTAATGTAAAAGGAGCGATGATATAGCTTTGTGAGGAAACCAGAATAAGATATCCAAATGCAACAAAAAGAGATATCCAAATGCAAGAGAACTATTGTTACCGTTTCTATCTTCATATTTTACTGAATGCGAATTTAATACCATAAATGATTTGCTGCTAAAAAAAAAAAAACTAAATAAAATAAAATAAAAAAAATTCGGTTGGATATAATGAAACTCGGGAGACTTGAAGACTCAAGTTATCTAAATTGGAATCTGACATAAAATTTCTTGCAGCAAGTATCAAGTGCAAGGAACTAGCTAAATTTAAATAATAAAAATTGCTAATACTTAAAATTAAAAGCTTTTACTAAAATCAGTTTTTCTTGAATTTTATTTCTCCATGTTTTGAGCAAACACAGTAAGTTCACTTACTGTGTTTGCTCATAAAATTTCGTAGTCATTTCTTCCTAAAAGCTATCATTCAAATTTCTTTCGTGAAAATTTCAATTTTTAAATATTAAAAATTATGTATATGGTAGGGGGAGCTTAAAATTTTTAGAGAGGATTAGGTGGGGCATAGCACAAAAAAGGTTGGGAAACACTGGTCTAGAGAGTACGTGGAGTTCCGAGAACAACCGAGTAGAGTCGGAAGCTGAACTCTAGTGCTTTCCAGTGAAGCTGTCTCCACCATGATAGCCTGATAATCTGAAGGCTGTGTCGCTGATCATGCCAGCGTATTTATAGTAGATCTTTGAAGACTGTAAAAGTGTTTTGGAGCTGTCCTGATTAAATATTGGTAAATAAATTGTGTTTTGATACTTCATCAAGTGTCATCGTTATTCACTCCAAATCTACGAACCCTGCCCGAATGTTAAAGAAAATAACATAGCAACTGGTGTCAGAAGAAAGAAAAACGTAACAATATATACATATGCAAGTATTAATAACAGTATTCCATATCACAGTCAGTAACTTTAATTCTATTGACATTAAATTTTCTTTATGAGGTACAAATAATTAGGTACAAAAAATTAAAAGGTTTAAATTAAGAGAATATTAACTGTGATGTCTTTTAGGATAGTATCAATAGATAAAATTTACCTCCCGTTATGTAACCTTGAAATAAATTACTATGTAACTTCATGATAATACTGTACCTTAGAAAAAAAAAATAAAAATCTTAATCCTAGAATAAAATTTTGATAATCAAAAATATTAAAAACTAGAGATAAATTATTCCCCTTGAATGCTTATTAAACACTTTTCCCAGTTCTATTGAAGTTTATTCTCAAAGTTGCACCTCTCAACAATAATTTTAAAAAATTCTAATTCAATTAAAATTCACATAAAATTAAGCACAGTATAATTCTACACGATAAATATTTTATAAACCTTTTTGAATTACTAAGATTTGAAGAGACTTGAATCTTATTTTCTGAGTTTTGCCAGTAAAATAGATCTACAAAAGCAGACACATGATGTATGAAAAAACACCATGGATTTTTTTCAATTAGTAACTGAAAACCCTAAGTGTATATATACTATGACAGCAGCAAAAAGAAATTTAGTTGGTATTAACCTCTTTTCATTTATTAATTTAGAAGTCAAATAACAAAAATCAGCATTATATTTTCAAATTTCCTGTGAAAATTTGAAAATATAACGCTGATTGTTGTTGTTTGACTTCTAAATTAATACTTGTTCTGTGTGTTTCTGTATCTCTTTTCATTTCTTATAAATTTCAAATCTGTGACTTTTTATCTCAATAATTCATTTAATTAATTACAGAAATAAGATTTTAATACTTGTGATTAAATTAACACAAAAATTTATTATAACAACAGGGAAAAAACAAACAATATTATAAAGATAAATATTAATATTATGGTAAATGTACTTACCCTAAACTCAAACTCTTCTCTAAAGAATTTATTACTAACTTCTGAATAGCTTTCTGGAAAAAACCCAGTGGACGAAGGACAAATACCACTTGAATTAATCCTGGGAAATACCCCTATAAAGTAATGTATTATCAATATATGTAACAACTAGTTAAACAAAAAAAAAAAAAAAAAAAAAAAAAACTTAAGGGATATGAAATTTTATTTGTAATTTAAAAAAAAAAATTACCGAGATTTTTAAAAGGACAGTTTTCACCGCACTCCATTTGTCATTCCTTCTGTCAATAACAAGAACAAATCCTAAATCTGCATCTTGCAACCTAAACATGTAAAAGAATTTTCTGTTATAAATTTAAAATCAGCTAAGCAATGATATATTGTTTAATTTTAAACATCACAATTTATGTCTAATATAAAATATAATGTTCTACAAAGACTATCTGGATAACTATCATCTCCTGCTGCAAACAAGATTAACATTTTTAAAAATTCTATAAAAATTTTTTAATTTCAGAGAAATTTTAAAAAATAATCATTTTGGGTAAAATTTTAGTTTTAATATTTTCTAATCTCTTCTTGGATCTCATCAATATCAAAGCATAAAAGTACCCAAAAGTAATTGCATATACAGTTTCACTACTGCTACAAAACAACTGGATTTTGCACTGATGCTTCAATCATTTAAAACTCACTCAGAAAAGCAATGAAGAAAAAACTGTTATGCATGTTTTATCCATGCAAGAAAAAATTAATTTAAGTTGCTGTAAATTTGAAATAAGTTGCAGCGAGCTAAGGGCTAAAAATCTTGCTTTTTTAATTTTCTGGAGATTATACTGAATATCTGCCTGAAGAATTGCGCCACTTTCAGGGAATATCAGTTGCAAAATACCTGTATGACATCATTTAAGTTAATAAATCACAAATACTAAAAATCTTGTGGGTTACAGAGGTTGCAATAGCAATAGGTATCAATCAATCAATCAATTTTAATTGACCTCTCCTGGAACAAAATGTAACTGAGATGACATCCATGATAAAACTCCGTATTAGGTGGGAGGGATGATCATTTCCACAGTTACATCTCTAAGAAGAGATATAAAACAAACTCAGCTTGCTATGCTTTGGAGGCCTCAATTCCACGGTGCAGACTTTGAAACGAACAAACTCTTATACCCCCAGGGCTAAAGTGGGCACCGGGCGCTCATCAAACCACAGGTTTCAGATATCACCCCAAGGGGAGGCACACTATGGACACTGTTATGACTGGTCATCGATAATGCCTCCGCCAGTACTATGTGGGCTGCCCGTCACCAGAGGACATTACCCAGAATACTCAGACCAGCCGAGCTACCAGTGCCCCCGGCTAAACGTCTTACGCCAATCCTCCTCGGTCTGATCATGTAAACGATCGTCCCCCTTGGGTTCTGGAACTGCCAGGTTTGTAATTATTGTTCCCCCAGAGTGCTACTGTCATGATAAGACCCAAGTCAGGGTATACAACCCATGGGATTAGCAATGGTTATGTCAGAAGTGTCATCTTCCATTTGGAAACAGCTGCCAAATAAAAGCTGCTTCTTTAAAAGTTTTGCAATACTTAGCATGTGTTCATACAAACAAACAGTAATGTTTTTTCCCCAGCTGGTAAACATACATATTAAGGTAACAATTTTTGTTTATGGATTTTCCTGGCGTATTTAATCACTTCTTTGCTGTTGCTTCAACAATAATCAGTCATTATATGTACTACATACCATATACCTTGGTATGTGTCTACATCACCCTAAAATCTTTGTGGAATTGTTCTCACTGCTCATCACTCATTGTAGCAAGATTTTTGGGGAAGTAAGCAAGCTAGCTATGTAAAAAATGCAATTTGATCCTCATGTTGCAAGCTCTTCCAAAAACTAAAAAGTTGCTGGACAATTTTGCCATAATTCGGTGCTTGTGTATTTCCAAGGTTTCTGAATGCCAACCAGCCATTCTTTTGAAGTTTTGTTATTATTCTAATGAAACGTTCATCTTTAAGGAGCTGCTGAATCTGTGAACCATCAAACACACCAACCTTTACCTTTTCAAATGACAGGCTAGGAAGTGTCCAAATGAGATACTTGAAACAGTCTCCTTCAACTGGCAAAGCTTTAACAAATTGTTCCATGAGACCAGTTTCATATGTAGGGGTGGAAATATGGCTTTCTCTTGACAAGTGGCTGATGTAGAATGTTTGGATCACCAGGTTTCAGGTCAGATCTTGACAGCCAATTGAACTGTACCCAATGCTTCTCACGAGCTCTACTATCCCACAAACACACAAAAACAAGGATACTTAGTATATCCATGTTACTGGCCAAGGAGGAAGGAGACTATTTTAAGGTCAATACAGATGATTCATTAGTGCATGTGTTATTGAAACATATCAAAGGCTCTATATTTATGTCTTCATATTCTTCACACAAACAAACTGAATGACCTATTGGAATTGCACCAAATCAACTTCCACTGTGGAAGAAAGAGGGCAAGGAAGAAAGTTCCGTTTCAAGCTATTGATGAAAAAATTGCCATTGCATTGCAGGCTAGAATTCTCAACTCTTCCATTAAACCATGTACATTACGACAATACACAAATCAATGATCATTTTGAAAGTATTGCAGAAATGCACTGTTCCTTGAGCAAAAGTAGGATACCTTAGCTTCTTCTTTAACAAGTTTTTCTCATGCACTTTTAATGCTAACAGCTCTGAAGCCTTTTTGGATAACCCCAAATCTCATGACAAATCATTTAACTCATGCTGGTCACATCCCTAATGAATAGATTCATCCCTAATGAATTTCAAAATCTTCATCATTAGGGTTAATTCGATAATCATCAGAATAATATTCCTTTATTTCTAAACAGGGTCAGTCAATAGTAGAGCAGTAGTACTTCCTATGATCCATGCAGGGGCATGGACAAAGAGGGGCAGGGGGGACCAGAAGAGGTTCCTGGGCACAGCATCCAGGGGAAGCCAAACTGATGTTATAAAATTTTAGGATTATATATTTTCCATTCTTAGCAAACAGGAGGGGAGGCACGAAATCCTTCAACTGCCTCCAAACTTTGAAAACCCTAGGTACGACACTTGCTTCATCCCTGCTTGATGCTGCAGTGAGTGATCACATTCATAGAAAAAATTTGGTGTGGTAGAAGAAAATTAAATACAGTTTTGAAATCAGCATGCCTATTTAACTCAAAAACAGCTCAAAAATTGAATTCAAATTGTGTTACAAATTGATCCCCAGTGTATGCTGTCATTATGCATCGTGCCAGCCACGCAGTGTAGCAGCACTTACTTAAAGAACTTTGGACACTTTGTTTTTCTGAGGGGTTAGTAACGACCTCATACGGACTTTCAGAATTTCATCTTCTGGGTTGGAGTCGACCAACAAAGGGTCAATTTCATGAGCCCTAAAGGGACCAAACAAGGGTAAAGGTCATTAATAGACAGTTAGGGAATGGACTATGGTGTCAGATGTCACACTGTCATGGCACTGGAACCATGTTGCCATTTTCTTGTCTTTGGTGCATCTCCTCATCAAGTGAAATTAATGTATTCAATAAAATCAAATTGTTGTGTTTTCATCTGTCAAATAAATCGATGTCATATGAAGAAGCAAGTCAAAAAATAAGAAACGTATCTTTTCACATTTTTTATTGAAACTTAACAACACGTGCACAACATTACATCGGCATCCATAGCTCGCACACAGAGAAGAGAGAACTTGGTGTTGCCAATACGGTAAATACAAATGTACCAAATTAACACGCCTCCTTACATTTATATTTACTAATTACAAACAAACATAGATATAAGCAATCTTTTCATCTTTACCATTTACAATTAAGCATAGATATAAACAATAACATTCAACACTTAACACAAATTATTTTTAAAAAAAGTTTCTTTCATTAACTTGAATGTTAAAATCAAAGTTAAACACAATTTAGTTTACATAAGGACATTACCAAAATCTATTTCATTTCAAGCAAATATATTTAAATAAACATCACTTAAATGAACAGTATACAAAATTTATTTCAATTTCAAACCTTCTCTAAATTTCATAAATTTAATCTTTCCTAAAGACTTAGTAAAGATATCTGCAATATTTGATTCTGAATCAATCTTTACAATTTCAATTACTCCATTTTGAACATTTTCGTGAACATAATGATATTGAACTTCTATGTGTTTTGAATTTTTAGTGAAGTTCCCATAATTAGCAATGGCCAAAGCTCCTGAATTATCTTCATAAATTTTTAATGGGGTGACTTATATCAGCAAAAACATCATTCACAACATTTTTCAAGAAATTAATTTCTGTCACAGCCTCAGATAGAGCAATATATTCGGCAAAAGTGGAAGATTTTGTCACACACATTTTGCTTTTTGGATTTCCAGTAAATTGGATTACCAAATAATTCAATAACAAACCCAGTAGTTGACTTTCTGTCAACAATATCACCTGCCCAATCAGCATCAACATAACAATTCATAATATCAGTTTTAAGATTTTTACTATAGGTTAATTTTAGATGTTGTGTTAAAGTACAAATACTTTAAAACTCTCAAAGCATATTTGAAATGTGTCTCATCATAACAATTTTGAAATCTACTTAAAATAATTTACGCCGCCGAAAGATATGTCTGGTCAAGTACCATGACTAATATACAAGAGTGCTCCTATTAGATTTCTATATTTGACATTTTGATTTAAATTAGATTGGCTTAGTTTAAGATTAGTCTCCATTGGTGTATCATAAAGCTTTGAATTTTTAATACCATACAGTTTAGCTAAAGATTCAATATAATTTTCCTGACTCAGTGTTAAGATATTACTTTTCTCATTATCATATTCAATATCAATTCCAATGTAGCTTTTTACTTTATTTAAATCCTTCATTTTAAATTTTTTATGAAGTTGTTCCTTAATATCATTAATTACCCAAGTATATCTGCAACATATCAACAAATCATCAACAAATAAAAGAATATATACAAATACATCATTTTCAGATTTTACATAAAGACAATAATCATATTTACTTCTACGAAATCCTAGACTCTCAATATACTCGTTAAAGCACTCATACCAAGCATGAGGGCTTTCTTTCAACCCATATAGTGCTTTCTTTAATTTATACACTCTATTCGAATTATCATTATAGCCTTGTGGCTGTTTAACATAAACCTCAGACACAACATAACCATTTAAAAAGGCAGTCTCAACATCCATTTGATGAATATTTAAATTATACTGACAGGAATATGAAAGTAACAATTTT